TGTACCTTACTGCAGATGTTCTCAAGCAGAAATAAAAATGCAGAACCAGACCAGGAGATCTAAGCTGGAACCAGATCCACAAATCAGCATCATGTCTGAGAACAGATGTGTGCTAACATCCGGAAGAAAGGTCTGGCCAAGCCAGCTCTCATTCCTCTAGCCCCGCACCTGGGCCTGCATATGGTTTGGGTTGCCCTGCAATCATTAAAGCAGCCATGCTCCCAAACCAGCCAACACCTTCCTGCTGTTGCACAAACTCTGCCTTCATCAATCCTCTGATTCCTCATGGGACTGGTCTCCTTCCTTTGTTTCAGGAGTTACGTTACCACATCCCCTTTGCAAGACATATATATAGTTTGTGTCATCACCTCCAAAGTGCTGAGCTTTATTTACTGCCTCAGTCCCGAGTCTCTCACCTTCTTCTTCCAACCAGTATCAGAACCATAATTCATCCTTTTTTGTGTTAGAAACACAGTTCAGAAACAGCACATAAGAAGCAGCCACATGAGTTGCCTCAACTTGTCATCAGCAAGATGAGCAGAATAAATTATTTCACAGAAAACAAATGATGCTCATAATAAACTGTCACATCAAGCTAGAAAGGTGATACATGTATTTTACAGCAGCAGGAAATGTTATTTGGGACTCCTTCTGGCATTTATAGAGCATTTTTTTCAAATTACCAGGAAAGGACACCACTACCCAGGTCATCTTCATCACTGCTGTAATTTACATACTTAAGTGCTAGCCAAAGTGAACTGAATTTACTGTCTGTAATAAAACTAAGATTTAATAAAACTCATCTTAAAAACATACCTTTTGCTTCAGCAACAGGAGCACAAGAGCACAGATAGACCTGTAGATTACCCCAGTATGGCTGCCATCACAAGGACTGAGGACTTTGCAGATGCCTCTGAATTTTCAGCTGTCCTCTGTGGCTTTTGGGCTCTTCCAGCCTTGCATAGATGTTTCATGAAGGACAGAATTAGAATCTTGCTCTGGCCCTCAATGCCAGTAGGAGAGCATTTTCCACAAAACAGCCTCTGACCTCTCAACACTCGTCTTTTAGGATGGTCTGCAGGGCAGCTTTAACAAGTTACTAAGCTGAGACTCTTGGATGTTAAATAACCAGATATTAAAGATCACCCCAAGTCATCAGTTGTATGGCAGGCTGTGTATTTCCACTGATCTCATGCTTCTCATTTTCCCACAGGCAATATTACCCCTCTTCCCTCCCAGACTGACCACTTCTTTCTCAGTTCCTGCATTGGCCCCTCAAGCATAAACTTGCTTTTCCTCAAAGAGCATCTTTATTCTCAGACTGGACTTGGTATCAATTTACTGCTTGTGTTTCAAGTCTGGAGAGGGCCAGTGTGCCAGACAGCAGCTCAATTTTTCCACATGCAGCAGGTACTGTCACCTCACTGTAAAACTTGCTTACATGTAGACTGAGACCATCACACCTAGAGCAGGAGCCCGAGTACTTCCCCTCTGACATAGAAACCTGTGATTTCCTCCCTCGCTTGCTGTCTCTCTAGCAGCCACCAGGCTGTGCTGAGGGATCACTTTTCTCCATCAGAAAAACAACTGAGATCTGTTTGCAAGAAGCTGTTTTCCCACCGGCGGTACAAGAACTTGTGTACCTGCCCGTAACTGACACCACTCTGCCCAGAAGTGGGAGGAGGAAAGGTAGACGTTTCCCCCATCAGAATAACAGAGTAGTTTGTCACTGTGTGCGATATCCCATGTATTCCCAAGGTTTCTGTCAGACAATGTTAAACATCCCCTAGTGACAACTAGGTCATTTCTTGAGCACAGGAAAGTAATACAGGAACTTTCCTCCAGACAGTAGGTGCTTTCTTCCAGCAATAAACCAGCCCATGATAATATCAGAAGAATGATGACTGAGCCTTTCCAAAATGTGAAGCGGTGAGATAAGGTGAGATAAGATGCCAGGAACAGCACCTTTGCCCTCTGGTGTTGCCATACTGACCCCAGGCTGACAGCGACTGCCTGGAAGCTCTGTGAAGCCCAGCAGGTTTTTTAAGCAGACAATATCATGATGAGCAGCTTATCTCTATCCTTATAAAACTTTGGAATCAGTTATATTTTGTACTACCAGAGGAGGGCGTAAATCAAAAGCCAGAGGAAAACAAGAGGCTGTTCAAGCCAGTGAGTTGCAGTTTCATAGCTAGCATAAACGGGTGCACATATGGTGCTCCAGCCCCAACCACTGCCTCTTTCATGCCTGCACTAGCATCCCAGAAGCAAACATGCAGGAAGAAGCCTAAGGAAACATTGCACTGTTTTTTGTAGAGTTTTGTTTTCAGGCCCAGAAACAAAACATTTTGCCACGTATGAGGCATGGAAAGTAAGAGCACAAGCTCCTACACCCCTCATGAAAACTGTTCCCTTAGGTTGTCTTCACAACCGTGTATTGCGGGGGGGGGGGAAGGGAAACCATCACTTGGTTCTGCTCTTAAAAGAAGTCCCCTCTTTCCTCCTGCTTATGCAGCTCTTGTCCTCCTTCTGCTTCTGCCTACACAATACAGCTGCCTCCCTCATGAGGGCTCTGGCAAGCACTGAACCTGTCATCTACCACAGTAGTTAACTATCCAGCTTGCTGTGCCCGTTCCTTGCTGCCTGAGATGGCTGAGATGACAGAGGTGCCTAATGATGAGCAGATTAGCCCAAGGAAAGCAGTGGGAACATGTAGGAGACTGGGGAACAGAGAGGGACAGGGATGTTCTTCCTTCAAGGCAGCCAAGCCCTTAGACGAGCTCATTTCTTGGGAAACACACCTCACTGTGCTGCTATCTGCTTGGCCTGTCTGCCTAAACTGAAACTCGTTTGACAAAGATCCCAATCCTCTTTTAATTGAAACTGATTTGTGAGCTAAGAAACCAATAAAAATTCAAGAACATTCATGTCTATTAGAAGAGACCATCTATCCTTAAGGGAGGCTACAACAACCATGTAAAGAGAATTAACTAATTTAACAACAGTTTCAAAAAATTACATTGCCAACTAGTGTAAGGCATTCCTCAGTCAAACCATTTATTGACTCTTCCTTATTCCAGATTAGTCAGCTTTATAGTAATATTAGTCCCAAGGGGAAATTGCTTGTTTAAAGAACCAGCAAAACTTTATTTTATTATATACCACTAAACTGAAAAATCCACAGTGAAAAGTAAAAAAAAAAGGCTGATCAAATTATTCTCTCCTTTCAGTGTTTAATTGACAAGTGCAAACATAAGGCTCTCATTCTGCATGATGTGTGTATCATTCCATTAAAATCAAGTCACACGTGTGGGCAACAAGCAGTAAAAAGACAGCGCTGACTGCCAACATTATGCTTTGAGTTTGAAACCAGTGAGGGGGAGAGGGGAAAATAGGCTTAGCAGGTTGAATACCAAACTGAGATTCCATATACCTTCATGGTGCTGCAGGTCCTTCCACTGTCTAACAGATACCACTGCAAATACCCCTCTATGCATGGCTTTCCCTGTCCACACAGAGGGTAATGAAATAGACACCCCATTCTTCCTTTTAGCCAGTCCTCAGCACCGAAAGCTTTGCACAAGAGTACTGCTATTTTTATGCATATAAGGCATTCACCAGGTGAGTTATTTTGCTAAATGTTCGTAAATAAAGTAACTTACCTGAATCTTTGCTAGACTAGTGCTACCTTCTCTTCACATGAGAGTGGGAGATATTTTCATATTCTCTTTTCTTTAATTTTAGGTGGGAGAATGTAAAATTTCCATGAGTAACTTCAAGAGTCAGAATAATTTGGGTAGGTCCTAAGGCATCTAGGACACAGGGAATGTTAAGAGTTCACATGGTTCCTAAGCTATGGTATGATGATGTAAGCCATTTGCCCTATGAAAAGGCCATACATCTGCATCCTCAAAACAGACCTCACACAGACCATGGGGTAAAATAAAACTCAGACAATGTGGTAATTAAAACAGATTTTCTGCTTTAAAGGCTTAGTCATCTAGAGTCAATCATTTCAAGGCAATACATCAAGGTTGATAAAATATCACTTACATGCATATTTCATTTTTACCTTTCTGCCAGCTCTCTTTGGATTTTTTTCTAAGAGAAAATAAATTAGAAAAGCATTAATTTTTTTTTCAGAGCAGACAGGACTTGGAACTTCTCCCATAGCAAATTTCAAGGAATGTAATACTCTTCTCAGCACCTGACAATCTTTTTTTCATCATTGAAATGCCCAGCTTTTGGCAAGCTAAGGTCCTATTACCCTTGTGCACTGACACAACAATTTCAGCCTGATCTGAACTCAGAAAAAGCTTTTCTGTTCTGTTTTTCTGTTGGTTTGTGGTTTTTTTTCACCTCAATTTTTGTTTTCGGTAGTAAGGAAACCTGTTTATAAAATGCAAGAATGTGACAGCTTGAAGCAGACCAAAATGGGATAAATCTTCAAGCCACCAAGGAAATGCTGACTGACATCTTAAAATGTCTGCTGCTTCAAAATGCCCCACATAAAGCAGGAAATACCACTTTGGCTCTGCTACTACGAGAAAACCACTTTGGCTTCTTGTTAACAGAAAGACATGTCTTATAAATTAAAAGTAAGCCCACGACCTCATTGCAACTGGTCACTTTTGTACCACCAAACAAGCAAAACAACAACAAAAAAAGCCCAAATCCCAAACTTCAACCACAGAAAGTGGAGTTCCTCACATAGAAGTATGCTTACATGGACTCCCTTGCTACTTCAAGAGTCAAAAAATACAAGTTTTTATATTATACTACATCTCTAAGAGACATGTAAGTTTACAGCCACACATAACAGATGCAGCATGCCCGTAATTTTTCCTAGTTAGAAATCACTTTAAATTCTGAGATTCTACATAGTTTTAAATCAAATACCACTGCTTTTCTTCCCCTCCCTCCTTGGCTGTCCCATAACAATGTTTTCTATCAGTATGAAGGTTTTCTCCAAAGAAGAAAGTTATTTGGGAAAGGTAAAAAAAGGTTTAGCACGTTATTTATTCCTATTTATTCTTGTTTCAGGTGAAACCCAATTTGGAGTAAATCCTCTGAACTAGATGCAGAAAAAATTCACAGTCCCCATACGAAACCTGCCCCATCTTAGGAAAGGAAATATGATTCCACCTCATTCTGCTAACTCATGAGATTTACACCAACAAAACAGATTTGATTTCCAGAAAAGTCACCAGAGACAGGCTGCAAAACCAACTGAAATTAGATATTGTCATTAGTTACTCCAAAATCTACATAGCTGGACTTCCTGCACTAATATCAGAAAGCTTCACTAATAAAGGAGTAATTGCGGATGTGCACACATCTATGCACACACTTTCTCCTGAAAAAGTATATAAAACAAGTCCCATGAGGCAGATGGTTAAACAGACAGTTAAAGACGTTTGGACATTCACAAGGGATGTCACAGTTTCCCTACACTATGAGTCAATAATGCAGGCCTTCCAAAGTCAGACCAACAGATACCATTCACCCCAAGTGTCACTGAGCAGAGCACAAAGTTGTTCAAGTTTCTCCTGCCAAGGTGGCTCCCCGCTGCGTCACTAGTAGCTGCCAGCTTGTGCACACTTCTTTCTTTGATTGTGGCTTTCTCATTGTTGCACAGCCCCTTGTGATGAACCCAGCACCAGGTGAAAACTGTCACATTGATTAGCAATGCTGTGAAATGAATCCTATTTTGCTATAATTTTTATTTTGCATTTCCCACACTTTAGATTTGTTTTGGATCTAAACAGTAGCAGAAGAGAATGGAGAAAGACTCCCAGCAATGCACTTGCATAAGCCCCATACATTTGTTTTCCTGAACACACAGAAATTTGTTAAAGTAAGATCTGCATTAAAGTAACCCCAGTCAAGAATTTTCTATTCTTTTCTACAAGAGTGATACAACCCATCCTCAGCAGGTTTCCAAAACCTCAGTAGCTCAACAATAAGTATCTACTGACCATCTGAAAAAGAATAATTTAAAAGTTAATTTAGGCTACATAATCTGTCAAAAACAACAGTAAAGTTTGGGCAGTTCAAAGACATTTCTCTATCTCTGTATTTGGAAAGCCTCTTTTGTATATGCTTATACAAACACAGTGTGAGAAGAGCCAGCACAGCACTTGCAGACTACATAGTGCTTTCCTTTGTATAGCGCAAATTTACTTCAGCAGAGCTGACTGGGACTTTGCTCAGAACTGCAAGGTGCTGACTCATCTGGCCCAGTTTGACAGGTCACTTAAGTGTGTGCTTGTTTTTAAGTGAAGATGCTTTTGAAGAAGAAAGGTGCTTACACGCTTTGTTTTATGAGAAACTCACTCTTGCAAGAGAAAATATACGTGTAATTTGACCTCCATTATTCATCAGTTATTTAGCACCAGGTAGTCAAAATTGAGATGGACCAAGTAGATTAATCCCTGCCACACCTAATTTTCAGTGTGCTCTTAGCGGTTAATCAACATCATGTGAAATTCAGGGGCTATCCCTCTCCCACTTACACATCTGCTTTGAAGAATTTGAAGAATTTCAGTTAGAAGCAGGACACTCACTGTCCAGAGGGTCTTTTGGGAATGGTGAAAGATTTAAAAAAAAAAAAAAAAAAAAAGGAACTAAAAAAATGGGCTCAATTTGTAAGATTATTCTAAATCAAATTGCACCAAGTACTGAGTTTACTTAATTTCTACCTAGTTGGAATTAGTGAAGTGATGAAATCACTGCTCAATTGCGAATTCCTGAAAACCAATACCTTTTTAACCTGTTTTTTGCCTGCTTCCCCATTTAGTCTGTCACCCACTTTCAGGTCTCAGCTAATATTTGGTACCCAGCAGCAGATTAGCCCCAATTAGTAAGTTCGGACCCTACTATAAGTCCTCACCCTGACACTCCAAAACCCTTTTATACCTGAAGCAATGATGCTGTCCCAAGCATAGCCCTGCTTCTGCATCCAACCAGCCCCCATTTCCTCTGACCCTTTGCCATTAAAGCCTGGATCAAAGGAGCCTACATTCTTCCTTCTATTTCCCTTTTCTTATAGCTTGTCATCTGCTCCTCAGGTCTCACACTCAGAACAGCATTAAACTGCCATTTTTGGATGCACAGGGACATTAATTTCATTATTTCAAAAGGAAAGCTACTGAGTGTTAAAAATGCAATATCAACAGTAAGACTTACTACTATATAGGTGGAAAAGATTTCACATGTTCTCACTATTTTTTGTTTTCTCAGTTAAGCTATTATAAAATATATAATGTATAAAGACTAATGAATATATGGCTGCATCTGTATAGTGTATGTCACTTTAAAAGATAAAATGTTGAAAAAAATAGCAAATAATATCTTTACAAAATAGTAGATTGCCACAGTTCCTGTAGAGATATTAAATTGAGGATGGAAGGCTAATTCTTGTCTTTTAATATTCAGCATCTGCAAAGTTCCTCATATTTATATATATGCAGAAAATAAGAAGGATAAAACTCAAGCTTAGGGTTCGGTTTGGCTTACTGAGAACAATGAAGTCAAAAAATTATGATCCTACAGCAAACCTCTTAACATACTTATTATTGTTTGTCCCAATGGAAATTCTGAACCTTTCTAGAAAACTTCTTTTCCTGGCTTAAGTTGTACAGATTTTCTTCATCTAAAACTCAAAGCTAGAAAGACAGAAGGAAAAGTTACAACAGATGTCCCAGAGTAATCTCAGCTGTAGAACCATTACAGTGATACATAATGGAACAAAAACCGAAGAGGCATTTCAAGTCAATCTGGTCCTTGTGTGCCTATCTACATCAGGAAATTAGCATATATAAATATATAAATAAAACATATATACAGTACATAGTCACATTCATATAAGCCATAAAATGACATATATTTACAAAAATATTTGCAGCTCTGTTTTACACTTTCAGGTCCACATCAGGGATTTAATTATTTAGCTTCTGCCTTGTGAATTTGATCACCTTCCTAAGTAGGAATCTGGGATGAACTTGTACCTCATACGTTCCCAATAGTCAAAAATAAGAAAGAAGAAAATAATCTTCCAAGGAATTCTGCCAAGTCCGTAAGAAAAGTTGAAACTTGTTGAAGCATTAGCTGCCTCAATGAAGAGTTAGCAAACATTGAGAGACCTTCTCTTCTTCATGTAGAAAGACAATACCTTGGTCTGGTCCATAAATAAATTTGAAACACATAAAACATCAGGCAGAGCACAAATCAGGTGCCTGACAGGTGACAGGTGTCTATAGTATAAACTCATGCATAATTACTATTCTACTTGTCTGAGTTTAAACTTGTAGAGTTGCGAAAGTGAAGGTAGAGATGAAAATGCATACATCAGGTTACCTTACAGGGTAAAATGGTAGAGAGTAGACTATATCCTGCTGGCACTGTGCTGGCTTCCTTTAAGGGTAAGTTACATGGTTAAAACAACCCCAAAGATCTCACATTTATACTATACGTATTACACAGCTCTGTGACTTCCAGGAGTTGGACATACTTAATTTACTTCTCCAAAGATGGAAAAACATTTCTTCACTTCTTCATAAAGTAGTCTTTTTAGGTATGCAGCCCAGGTTCAGGCATGGTTTTTTTAACCTAGGAGATTTGCCCTTTTGACATGAAATGAATTTTGCGAGAGGTATTAAAGCTTTGGAGAAGGGGTTGTTTTCCTTCCGAAGAACACTTGGAAAAAACAAACTTCAAAATGCAGAAGTTTAAAGTGCCTGTACGTGAAGACCCATGAGGAAAAATCTTGCAATGAACCTTTTGAAACATGGCCTCAGATAGAACTTTCAGTGATAGGCTGTGGAGTCATCTCTTGCTCCTCGCTATTCTCTGTGGATACATCCTGGGCCTCCTGCTGCTGATAAATATCGTGGACCAGCATGATGTTTGTGTTCCTCCACTCTCTGTACTTCACTGCTGTCAACTTTGGGTCCTCTAGCAACTGGTTAATTGTGGCCAGGTCATGCTCCTTACACTAGGAAGAGAATAAGTGGTTATTTCCTACTGAAAAAATCAAGCTCATTGTCCAGACCAAAAACAATCTGGGAACATTAGAGAACCATGTCACAACAAGAAGTGACAATTATCCATCCTCCTAGCAACTTGTTTCCATTTTTAGATCATAGATCAAAGTTAAATCCACAGCAGAAATCCATCCCATTTGAAGGCCAGATTTTGTTTTCATGTAGATTGCTTTATAGGATTCTTAGCAAAGCTTCATGAGAGAGGATTCACTGAAAATTAGACGTTGCTATGCTGTCTCACAAGTTAGTACTTGCATTAAACTAGACACAACGTTTGTTTCTGCATTTCACACCAGTTGCAACTGTCTTAAAAAAATACTTATTCACTGAAGAAATCATAAATGTCACTTCTCTGGCAGCTAGGCAGAAAATAATTTTGGATATAATCTGTGCACTGGCAGTAGAGTGTCCAGGACACATGGCTGCTAATACATCTACCACCAGCTACCACTGATAAATCTGGTCTCTACTTTTAGAGCAAAGCAGCTCAGACCATATATTGCAAGCACCCTGGATCAATTGTAAGATGTGAGCTGTCACTAGTATAGGGGCACTGAGACACTTTATGCCACAGAGTCACAGAATGGTTGAAATTGGAAGAGACTTCCAGAAGGCATCTGCTACAACCCACTTCCTCAAGCAGAGCCACCTAGAGCAAGTTGCTTAGGACCATGTCCAGATGGCTTTTGAATATCTCCAAGGATGGAGACTCCGCAGTCTCTCTGGGCAACCTGTTCCAGTGCCCATTGACCCTCTTAATGTTCAGAGGGAACCTCCGGTGTGTCAGTTTTCATCCATTGCCCCTGGTCCTGCCGCTGGGCACTGCCAAAAAGAGTCTTGCTCTGCCTTCTTAGCACTCTCCTTTCAGATATTTATATTCATTGATGTCCTCACATTTTCTGACACAACAAAGCACCCTGCTTTTCCTGCCCTTGTTGCTTATCCATGCAGCAGACAAGATAAAGAAGCCTTAGTTAGCAGCTACAGTTTCTTAATGGAGGCAACATGCTGCGCTAACAAGCCCTTACTGCTTTTGCTCATCTCCATTACCCTCCAATATCTGAAAGCAGTGGAATAGTTCCAATAATGTTCTGCTGCCACCAGTTTTATCACACCTAAGGACACTCTGTGCTAGTGGCTGCCTTGAAAACACCTTGAATAAGTTCCTACAAATTCACACCACTTCCCTGATAGTAGCAATTGGCTGCCTACACATCTGCATCCCACTATTTGTCTAATGAACTATCAGCTACTCTAATTCCTCTTATGCCTGAGCCTCTTTTTAAACACAAAAGCTTATTCAACTTACACAGGTCCTACCTTCAAGACCTAAGGAAGAAGCCTTGTAAGAACAGCCTTGTAAGAAGGAAGAAGGCTTCTGGCATTGATGCAGAGATATGCACAGTTAGCCTAAGAGAAGAAGAGGAGGCATGGAACTAGAAGATTGAGAAGAGTATTTTCAGTGGATGAACTTGGTGGCAAAAAGCAATGCCATAGAATTCTTCCTATACCACTAAATCTTTTTCCCACATTCACTGTGATGCATTTGCACACAGCTTCCCTCTCTTCCAAGCTATGCAAAGCATGTTTTGTTAATGATATGTTGTGGCAGCTGTTGTTAAAGATGTGGAGTCAAAAGTCCAACATTAAAATTACACTGAATCTTGCATAAATCACATCTCAAGCTAATAGGGCTTTAATTAAAGCAGAGTAAATATGGATCAGATGTGAAAAAAATCCTGATATTTCAATTTCCAATAGATCATTTCCAATTATCTCATGTCTCATGTCACACGTTAAGAAAATTGACTTTAAAAGCACATAGTCCCACTGATGCAAAAAATACAACAATTTCTCACTGCAGGCATTTGCCTTCCAGACAGGCTAACTTAAACACTGCTATGTATAGAACTCTGTGAGAAAATTTCTGCACTATATTTGTCTTGTCAATACTCCAATTTCTTAGTTTGGGGAAAGCAAAAAAGATCAACATATTTTATATATTATGCACACTCCAAAAATTATTTTTCTATATTAAATGCAAGTGTTAGACAAACCTAAGTTTGTAAATACTGCTAATCACAACTTATATAATACTCCCTTACTCAATCAATGCAAAGCTGTTATCCTTGCTCATGTCTGTCCGTAAGGCTTCCTTTCAGCTCCATACTAATGAAATTGATTATCCCACAAGATGATACAACTCTATTTTCTACTAACTGGTTCTTAGATTTATTAGGGAGGCTCCTATGAGGGAACACTTCACAGTATTTTCCATATTTAGCTTCCTGTCCCATAAAATAGGCATATTTTTTAAACTAACTTTCTGTTATAAAATAGGCTCACTTTTTTGCTGGTGCAGGTGAATACTGCTTTAGTCAGTACCATGTCACTGAAGACTCTGATATTGAGCAAAGACTTCACCAGGTCTCAAACAGAGCCAGAAAGAAGGCCTTTAGTCCCACTCATCTCTTTGACTGTATCTTCAGGAATTTTAACACAGACTGAGATGCCAAAGCCGAGCCTCCCATTGCAGCTAATAATCACATCAATGATGGCACTGATAGAAGTTTTTACATGCATTTTTTTCAGCTTATAATGCCTGAAGCTAAATACACTCACTTGAAGAAAGATATTAAATTCCTGCTTCTAATTCATACAAAAAGAGACAAGTGAAGTCCCAGGTTTCCATTATTCTTTCTTCTCTTCACAATTTAAATGCTATGATTAAGCTTTCTGTTTCCCTCAGTACCATTCAGAAGCAGGTTTTGAAATCCCGTGATACTTGAAGCTGGTGAGTAAACAGCCCCATAAATCCCTATATTCCAGACAGATTTACTGGCCCTTTCAGGGAACAACCCTTGAAGCGCGCGCGCGCGCGCGCGCGCGCGCGCGCGCGCGCGCGCGCGCGCGCGCGCGCGCGCGCGCGCGCGCGCGCGCGCGCGCGCGCGCGCATACACACCCCACCCCACCCCCCCACCCCCCTTCAGTTCATGATGCATTTCCAAAATAAAAGCAGGATGCTTTTGTTATTAAAAATATTTTAGTTACAGGAGGTATTTACAATAGCTTTGGCACATCCTGTACATTCTCCAATAATCACATAAGGAAAACTTTTTTTGGCTCAGGGTCATTTTCATGCTTTATCATCAATGTACTTTGTCTGCTCTTCCTTTTTTAAGGCTCCCCTGTTTAGCGTATTCAGCTGAGCTTGCAAGTTTTCCAGCTAACTAAAAGAAGCTTTCTTTATTAAATTTTCCAAGAGGGTTGGAACTTCCGCAAGAAGGGTCCCTTCTGAACTATTGCCTCTGCTTCCAGTTCAAATTGAACAACAAAACACACAGCAGTATTCAGAATGAAGTAGAAAACAGTTTCAAAATCTTAACCAAATTCTCTGGGGCTTTAAGTAAATATGTAATTAGCATTTAGCTGAAGTCTAACCTTGCTGCTTTTTTTAGCCAAACTGTGCCTTTCTCTCAGGCTTTTCACTGGCCAGCTCTGCAATCTCACCTTTAATGTGCTGTTCAGCATTCGAATTTTGTGGAGCTTCTCATTAATGGAGGGGTTTTTGCTGCGTTTGATAAATGACTTCCTAAGCTCCTTCTTTGTTGACAGCCGACGATCACCAATGGGAGACAGGCTTGCTTGTTCTAATGACTTGTAAAGTCGCTCCATCTCATCATTATCACATTTTTCCTGATCTGCAAAGAAAATATAGATTGGGTATAAGAACATAAATGTGGCAGGAAATGTTCAGCCATCAGGAAGGCTCTTAGCCAAGTCAAAAAGTCATGGTATTAGAGTTAAAATTAAGGGCAATTTTTAGGGTAACTTATAGAGTAATAATGCATATAAGAAAAACATATTACCAAACTCAAATTCTTTTAAGAATCAGGTTGTGATCCAAACAGATATGAGCATGTATTTACACTGGTAGAGTGCTGCTTTCATGCTCCAAGTATACCACAGAGGGAACAACTGTCAGTGATGCTACATTTGAATGAGAACAACTTTGATAACATTTATACCCATCTACCCTTCCTTACATGCTGCATAAAGTGAATTACATTTCTACCTGGCAACTCACAGGTCAAATTCTATTTGGTGTACCAATTCATTGCCAGGTTTTAAAGCAGAATTTAAAAAAACTGAACAATGAAATAAAGCATAGGGACATTTCAGAGGACTCAAGAGAAGGTCCCTAGAAAATATATATAGAAAAAATATAAGAGCGAGAACCCTTGGGACACATGATGCCTAACTCCTGAGTTTCATAGATTGCAGCACAGAATTCACTGTGGTGCCTTACAACAGAGCCATGATTATCTCCACCTTAATTATTCTGATGGCTCCCAAGCTGCAGCACCATCTTCCATGACAGAGAGGAAATGAGAGGAAAAGCTAGTAAACAGCTGAGAATGAAGAATCTTAAAATAAGATAAAAACTGAAGCAAAGACATTTTTCAAAATAAAACAGCTTTAAAATGAACAGTCAGAATCTAAAAATGCACCAGGCATATATGAGTTATGTGTTTTGGCAGAAGGCCATATTCAGCAACAGACTGTGCAACTGTCTTCTTGTCCCTCAGTCCACACTGCAAACTTTTCTACTTCAGTGTTAGCTAAAGGAAAATCTTAAAGTTATTGGTGTTTTCAGGGTGCTAACGAATCCCTCAAGATCCACCGGGATAACATCTGGGTTTATTTCACTGAGGATAGTGGTGGTGCTTCTTCTCAACTGCAGTCCTCCATGTGACAGTCAAATTGGCTGGGCACTTTTTTCTTCTATCAAAAAGTTAAACATTGACTTTTCTAAACCATCTTCAGTCAGAAAACTTTTTCTGACTTACTTACGCTGCAGCATAAAGGCTTCGACATAATCAGCACACTTAGGAGTCTGCTCCTTATCTTTTCCATGTTTTAAAAAGAACGGCATCCTCCTACACTCCAGTTCTTTCTAAATATTTAGGTTACAAGAGAAGCTTATGCTACGCTACAAATATTTGCCTTCACTGTGTTGCTGGTCTTTTTTCCATTATTTTGTCATTATAAAAAACCTGCTGTAACTTGACAAAAACTAAATATAGCGTCCAACATTGGTACAGTGCTGGGGGAGGAAAAGGAAAACTGTTGTATATTTAACAAGCTGCGGGAAATAGAAAAAAAATCGCAAGTGTAAGTCATAATACACAGCAGCAGTATTTCCTGGAAACTGTCAGGTCATGCCATGAGGCTCGTAATTATAAAACTAGCTTCCTGCCTACTTTCTTGGGATGAAGCAGCTATTTGTTTCATTAGCCAACTCCTGCAAAGGACTGGCTCAACTCTGCTGTAGACATTACCCATCACGACTATACACAGTATCATTATGAGAGATAAAATTACCTTTATCAAATACTAAGAAGTATATAAGCAGAAAAAAAGTTTCCATTGATCCTGTATAGCAATTTTAAAAAACAGTCAAGCCATGGGGACATAAAGTCCCTGCTCCAGATATTTCTTAAGTCTAATTTATTACGCTCCTCAGTTTCCTAAAAGGGTTACAAAGCAGTAAGCATGCGGAAACACCCTCACTGAACACTCTTCTTCCATGCATTATGGGTGAAGATGAAGAGGACAGTACTAGCACAGAAAAAGATGGAGCCAAAGTCAGAAAAGCCCAGCAAAAGCTACCAGATGATGCACTTGACCAGCAATATGCACTCAGCTCCTGCATTCTTTCAAGATTGCAACCTTAAACTCCTCTCCTATTTTTTATTATTCCACTAGTCCTACCCCCAAAGGATTGATCATGGTCAGGTAATTCCAGAGGGAAAGGAATTTGCCACATTCTTCACTTCAGATTGGGTGGATAAAGGGAGCGTCAGTGAAACAGCTAAATGGGTTTTCAGGAAACAGTTGGAAAACAAGCATGAGTGAAACCTGCAGGCTGTGTAGAGCCAGGTAAGTGTTATGTAGTACTTTTGTCTCCATCTTTCTTTGCACTGATAAGCAGTGAACTTCTCCCACAACAAGGATCAACAACAAGTTGTTGTTCTCCAACAGAGAGAGCCACTCTTCATCAGGGACTGCAGTGATAGGACAACAGGTAATAGGTTCAAACTTAAACGGGGTAAGTTCAGGTTAGATATAAGGAAGTTCTTTGTTGTGAGGGTGGTGAGGCACCAGAATGGGTTGCCCAAGGAAGTTGTGAATGCTTCACCCCTGGCAGTGCTCGAGGCCAGGCTGGACAGGACCTTGAGCAACACTAACCATTCTATGATTCTATAACAGCACAGAAATAACAAAACAAGGCCTTAATACTGTGATTTTGCATAGAAGCAGATACTGTTGCTATTGACAAAGAGTATGACTGCCGATAAGCCTCTATAAATTGAGGGCTCACTGTCTGATACCTATCTGGACTTTCACCTTCAATGTCTTGAGTTCCCGGGAGCCAAGCTTAAAAAGCAAAAGCACACATTTTGCAGGCTTGAAGCTGCCACTGAACATACTAAATTGATGCTGTAAATCTGAAAAGGGGAGAGGTAATGGAAGAAAGGGAGAGACATTACGTCTGACAATCAATTAACAAGCCCAATAAAATTACCTGTGATAAGAAAATATATTTCTCCTCACTCACACAATGGTGCATTATGTATTTCACAAGGCTCTTAATGCCACCAAAGTAAACAAAGTAAGCACTGCCTGTAGTTTCCTTGCTTGTTTTCCCCATAAAACACCTGAGAGAAAATTAAGGTTGGATAACAGAGATGAAGGCACGTAACTTAAAGGCTTAAGCACAGACTGGACTTTTTCCTCCGGATTCAAACGTTCACAGCACATTTTCCCAGAACTTGGTATTGTTTAATTCCCTTGCAGTTAGAGCACTGACCTGCAGATGAGGAAGTTTCTATCAGAAGCACAGGCATTCACCAGTCCTGTATTTTCAGGCTTTGGTGATTTGTATTCCTCCTATGAACCCGGGGCTGTCTAGACAATACTACTGAATTGTTACTAAACATTTGTTTTCCATCACAAAGTAAAACTTTATGCAAAAAGCACATAGTACACAAGCTCAGACCCTGATGTGAAAACCAGTAAATTGTCTGTTTCAGCCTCCCTAAGCTTTGTTAACCTCTGAAGGTTTGTAATGATGGATATATTCCACTGGCAAAAGTTCTTTATAACATGGGCAGGTTGGGCCCCACTAACACTGTTCTGGCGTAAGTTTTTCGAGCCAAGTCACACAGCTAACCTCAGGCAGATTTAAAATCACTTCAAAATATAATATTGCAAGTTATCTGTTCCACTGATACTCCTCAAGCTAACCACTTGCTGGCTCAGGCATGCAAGTTAGGAAACAGAAATGCTATTACAGCACTTCTTTATCTTATCCTATTTTAGAGATTAAATACATTCATTTTTCTCTCAGGACCTACTGAATGATAGTGTTAAGGAACAGACAACAGTGGAAGGATATTAGGTACTGTGTGCATTTATGAGCATGTACATGCACACAGGGGAGCATGTGCATTCTGCACTTTCCCTTTCCCTTAGCAGTATTAACTAATCAATTCTGTTGAGTGATGCCACTGGGAGGATCACTCTTCGTGTATCCCTCACCATGCTCTTCACCCCAAGCCTTGCAGCCTGCTAAAGCTTCATTGCACTTCTGGAAAACTTCTGTAGCATATAGCTTTTTAACTTTGTCAGACTTCACAGAGAGGAGATCGGAAAATAACCAGTGCTGACCTGAGGAAAAGGGAAGTTGTGCCTCGATATATTCTAATGTTCAAAAGAAAGTGATATTCTAGGTTGGGGTGAGGAAAATAAGTAATATTTCAAGCAAGTCATATAACTTCTGACAAATTCTGCTTCAGGAGATGTGAAACAATTTTGTGGCTTGATGCCACTTATCTGGAATTTCCCTCTAACTAACAGGAGATATTACAGACAAGAGCAAGCTTCCAGAGGTTCAAAAGTCCAGCTTTTCACCTCCTCAATTTTCAACTTCCACCTTCCTGTCGGCCAACTTGCCCCAGGTGGGAGACATTAAGGTATTGAGACTCCCCACCTTGCAGCAGCAGTACAGGAGCCATCCTATAATCTCAACTTTAATGCTCTTTAAGCCCACAAAAGTGAAATTATCCAGAACTTTTCAAAAAGCAGCTGTGAAAAATGAAGCTGATTGTTTCCGAGTGGTGACGATACAGAAATAGGGAATGTTTGGCAGAAGGAGCATTATAAATTGAAAACTGCCTCTAACAGAATATATTTTACAAAATCTAAGTTAAGAGAGAGTGAGAGAAAATAATAGGAAAAGTAAGTTACCATCAGCAGTTAAATGCTCTTGACTATAACAGTACAGTGGATTCATCAGCGAGGGATAGCATTTTAACAGACAGTGAGAGAAATGGAAACAGCACTAAATATCTTTTTCAGAGAGTTCAGAAAACCATAACACCACAGTTTTCATTGTGATTTTTAAGGCATTTTTAATAAGAAACAAAATAATCATTCAAATAAACACAGTTGTTTCTCTACACAGTTGCTGTCATGATGGGCCTACTTCTTGGCTAGTCCCAGTCATGGTCTAGCCATTTTCTGTAACTTTGAAGAGGAACTAAGGGGCCAGAGCACATCAGAGGATCTGTTCTGGCTGTTACTGGCACAGGCAGACTCCAGAGGGGAAGAGGATGTCAGTTCTGAGAAAAGAAGGAATTGAATGCATCCAGCTCCTATTTAACCAACTCCTTCCCATAAAACCAGCCTGGGCAAAAGTCAGGCGGTGTTTGAAAAAACTTTCTATGTTTTTCAAAATACCGGCACACACCATTTCTACCAGCTTCTGTGCACTAAGATAAAATAAACCGGAAGTGGTACCATAAGAATTTCTTGCCAAGAGGTATTAATATGATAATAAACCCTCAGAAAATGCAAGGAAGAAGGACGTTATCATTATAGTAGAAGATCCCCTAATAAATACAATATATTCCTGTTCTTTTATAATAACCTCTCAGTTTCTGTGCCTTCCTTTTGTTACCATAGTTTCTGAAGATGGTGCTCATGGGTCATAATCAGATACTTTCTGTTACAGTGGGTACCAGAAGAAATAAAAAGGATGGAGTTTGGCTGCAGAGCATATCAAGCCATCCTGAACGGGGCAAAGCCAGCTTCTGGATACAGAGCACGTAGTCATATAATTGTTTGTATTCTCAACCGTTTCTTGTTTACCTTTTAGTTTCTTTGTGTCACAGGCAGCTTTGAATCCTTTGTCACTGTGCACGTAGCAGGCTGCAACATGGAGCTCAATTCTAATACTTAATATTCAGTATTCTCACAAAGTAAATGGAAATATAATTATGATCTTTCAAAGACAAAACTGCTAAACTCTCCTTTTTTGTACCTTTGTATTACTCCCTGGTATATAAACTCACCTAGTAATTGGTGCTGAGAATGGTCATAACATCACTAAAAGTGCCTGGAAAGGTCATTAAAAATATCATATGGTACAGCACCCTGTACCAGACACAGCTGCTTAGCAGAGTTCATTAAATAATTTTAATTGAAAAAGTAATCCATGATCATTTAGTTGAATCTGTAGTTTCTCTTGCAGAGATTCATCCATATATCTCTGAGAAAATCTTTCATTGTTTAACTCATAACTGAGGTTTCTTCACTATTTTTGTAATTTCATGATAAGCTCTTCCCACAAAACCACACCTATTCTTTCTGCCTTCTAGGTGCCAGCTTTTGCCACACTGGCTTCCATGTCTGACTTTTGCCAACAAAAGTGCTCTTCAGTTCTTGAAAACTTTCCCCTCTGCTCTAGGCTACTATCAAGTACAACTAAAAATTCCTTATGGGGTTTTACTAAGCAGAATGTAGTCACAAAGCAGAGTGTGACAGTTTTTTTCCTATCCTCACAAGGAGAAGAGGAGAGCATGGACAAACATGAAGGCTCTGTGGGGAGTGGGTTCAAAGACCAAATAGCTGTCCTGACAACGGAAGGGCCATCTGAACATAGATAGGACGTGCTTTCAGGACAGATTTCAATGCAAGATTAACCTGTCTCCTGGATGCAGTCTCATTGCTCTGAAACATGATCAGCTGTCAGAAATGCACTGTTCAGAAATGCAAATAATACAGACTGCACTGAAGTATATATTCTTGTTTCAATGATAACAAGAGTTATCAACTAGCTGGAGGGGGAAATTCTTGGAGGAAAAGACACAGAACCAGAATTGCACTCTTTTTGATAACTTTCGTTTGGAACTTAAATGCTATTTTTATGTTAATCCTTTTTTTCTACCTCATTCTCAAATTGGGGTAGCTTAATTAATCTCCTTGCACATTATTTCATTTATTTTTTCAGTGGTCATTATGGGGGAAGGTCCCACACACCAACACTCTGTCCCCTCCCCCACTATGCAGACTGATAAAGAAAAATGCACGTATTTTGTACATCTTGCTTGTTCAATAATGGGTTATGATGCAGACAGTAACTAGTGAGGTTATATGGTTTCCATAGTGACGGTCCCATTAAAATGATCTATTTATGGAATTCCATCAGAGATCACTGGCCTGGTTAGGATGGAAATGTGCTGCAATAAGGGTTGGACATTAGCTAATCAGTAAGCAGTAGAAGAATCCATTTCCCTAGGAATATTTTTAGGAAAATAAAACCAGCTTGCAAAGGGCAGGACTATACCAAAATGTGCTTTGATTTACATTTATATTGGTTTTATTGGTTAGCATTACTGAGCCTGTCAAATGCGTCATGCTAATTCTATGACCATCCATAAAAGTACTTGTCACCCTCAGAGCTACGATGGAAAGTATTAACCTATACATTATTGCGTGATTGCTGACACTACTAAAGTACCATATTTTAAGCAAAAGTTTAGATTTCTAAACAGCAGCCACTGAATCTTGCTCAACAGGATCTATAAGCTACCATGCCATATATGATATGACCTACGCTCCAACAACCCACTTGAATCTACCTATTAATGTACCTAAGGCATTACTTAGTTGAATTTCACCCAGAATTACGGAAGGCAATACATTTAATACAGCTTTGTGACATTTTCATTAGGGACCCCATTTTTACAAGTCCCAGCCTTTTCACTACTTGCAGTGCCAGAACTCATGGAAATCAGATTCCACAGCAATTCTCTCAAAACATCTACTCTTTTTTTGCCACAGAAAAAAAAAAAAAAAAAGGCACACTATTTGTTTTAATTCTCACTGATCTTCATTGCTACAGGTCTCTAGCAGAGCAACCTAGAAGGTGGATGCTGAAGCTGAGCACAAAAACCTCCGAATTAATTTTCACTTTTGATGGAATGTGTACTTTGCTCAATTTCCTTTTATTTTTCTTGTAAAACCAGAAAAACATATGACAAACTAAAGGCAGGTTAACTGTTTATATTTGTAAAACAATTTGGACACTGACAATGTACCTAATGTGCCTCACACTATCATTTTTCAATCAGTGCTGAGTTCACCTCCAGAGAAAAAAAACAAGTATGAAGTGAGTCCCATACTGTTTCTTTCCACCTTTGCATTACCTTCAGCCCAAGCTTTTGGATGCACCTTTAGTTTGCATTGCACTCAGACAACAATGCTCCTTGCTTCAAATCTTTACAGGGATTTGGGATAATGGGTAGAGCTGATGCACAAGAACATCGTTGCTTCCTTAGGTATTACCTTTCTAGGCAGCATCCTGTGCATCTTCTCACTTCAGCACATTGCATGCCAGAAACTCCTCTTACGCTTCAACTGCTTTAATACAGGAAGAAGCAGCTTTGCTCAAAAGGCAAGACATATTGCCTTGCTATGCATGAGAGTTATTAACAGTAACAGGAACCAAACTCTGGAACTCTGCCACCTTTTTAATTTAGCAATACATTTTGGTAGAAGAATACCTAAGCAGATACCCATTTCTTTAAACAGAATCCAATCTTAATGGACTTTCTGGTTCAGGATTGCAGTTGTTTCCTCTTGATTACAATGAAGCTCAATGAAACAAATAGGAAATATGTACTGGAAGTAAATGCAACTGCTTTTATTTTTAAAACTGGATTGACCATAATTACATGGCCATAATTACAACTTCCTGCATATGCCATTTTGCTTAGGGTGTCAGTTCTGTGACACACTTTCTTAAAATATTGGTTCACTCCTAACTAATAAGACATCTGTATTGAAATAAAGAAAGCTAATAAAAATACATCTACTTTGGGATTTTATACAGAAGCTATGATCTTAACATATAGGTAAAATCTGAGAGAAGCTGTATAGGTACTTACCAGTTAGATACTAAGTTATATGTAGCGCCTAATAAATCCAAGATTTTTACAAATGATATGCCACTGGAAAACTCCTCAGTGAAGAACATAAAGGAAGGAAGGGGAAAGGAAGCTGAAGAAACCCCCCGAGTTCCCACAATGTATGGCTCTGCAGACAAAAAAAAATCTCATTAGCTCACCTTTGGCTAGTGATCTCTGTCCTATTGCATCTGGCACAGCTAGACAATGTGTATCCAGACCTAAAAAAGAATTTGGGGATCCACCACTGGGTTTGGAAAGCCCAGCCTCCTGGCTTTCTGCCACTTCTCCGCAGTCTGCTTCTGGTGGCTCATCAGAGTGAATCTGTACACAGAAAGTTAAAGGCTGATCACCATCTTCTGTGGCAGAGCTGTTAACTAGGTCAAGCCAGGACTGCCTCTCGGAATAAACCACTTTGGATGTCAAGGAAGAAGATGACTCTTGGGAGTTGAAAGTGCTTTCAGGAGAAGAGAGGGAACAAGATGCTTCATTTGATAGAATTGAGGTGCAAGAAGACTTCTGCTGATCCTGCTTTCCAGAAACAAATAGGGTGAGGGGAGAAAAAAGAAAAATTATTTCCAAGTTATTCCTGTTCCTAGGTTGTACACTTTATAGATATGCAGCTGAAATGTCAATGAAAACCTTATATAATCTGATTAATTATCCATCCAAACAAGCCTGAGTTACAGCATTCAATCTCCTACAGAGCAGTAACTTCAGAAAATAAGCCAAAAGCAAGCCAAAGATAAAACAGATAAAAACTTGACAATGTTCAGAAATAAAAGACCAAGGAAAAATGTTTGGTATAGCCTTCTATGCTAGGTCTTACACTCCCATTCACTCTTTACTTTGTCTTCGCTTTATTGGTCTGATCAACTGTGCAGAAGAGAAACTCTGAATTAGCCATTGAACATGAAGTTTTCTGGAAGCATTCAATAAATCCACCAATGCCATTACCACAGATAGACAGAAATGGGCCGAAACACTGAAGTACCTTGACCTTTGCAGCACGCAAAGCCATTTTGCCTGGTCCATTTGAGGGACTAACCATTCACCAAGGCAAGAAGGCTGACGGGTAACGTGATGGCAAGTTAGTTGTAGAAAGAAAAAGCAGTCAGTCATGTGGCAGAAGGCAAGAAACAGGGAATGGTATAATATTTGTGCTGCTTGTTAGCTGCTAAGATTCACTGTCCTGGGTTCAGCAGTAGCGGTCATTTTTCTCCTTCTTGGTAGCTGGTGCAATGCTGTGTTTTGACTTTCAGCTCGGGAACAGAGCTGATAACAATGATGTTTTGGTTTGGCCAAGGACTTTGTGAGCCTCATGCTCTGCCAGGGAGGAGGGGAAGCCAGGAGGAAGCAGAGACAGGACACCTGACCCAAACTGACCAAAGAGGTATTCCATACCACAGCGCGTCATGCCCAGGAGGTAACTGGGAGTGAGCCAGAAGGGCTGGGAGACTGTGGGGTTGGAGGAGGTATGGGTCGGTGCTTGGTTGGGCTGGGGGGGCAAGTTATCGGTCGGCTGGTGGTGAGGTGATGTATTCTCTTCCCTTGTTATTTCCTTTATCATTGTCATTGGTGGTAGCAGTAGTGATTTGTGTTATACCTTAGTTACTAAACTTGTTCTTATCTCAACCCGTGGGAGTTGCATTCTTTTAGATTCTCCTCTCTGTCCCTCTAGGAGTAGGGGAAAGGCAAGAAGCGGGGGAAGTGAATGAACAAGCTGTCTGGCTGGGTTTAAACCACCACATTCACCATTCATGAATCTGAAAGGGAACCAAAACTTTGCTAGAAACACATAAGAATGCCATGAAGACGTTCTGAGGCCCTCCTTACTGTACTTGTCACTCTGCCTCAACGAGAGGACATAAAACCAGAAATGTCTCAGAGACATCTAACAATCATCGTTAGAAGATAGGATTTTAATAAGTGAGGCTATGACAGATGCACAGTTCCATGTAAAGACAGGTTGAGAGAAAGAACAAAGTATATAGCTTCCTAGGCAAGCAAATAAATGCCCGGATCTACACAACTCACACATGAAGAACTAGCACCACTCTGCTTCTTAGTCACAAAACACCACTGAAAGATGAGCCAAGAGAGCCAAATACACAAGTAATACATGCACAAACACACTAATATACATACAAATACCTTTAAGAGGATTATTGGCAGTAATAAAGTAATAGAAGAAAAAGGAAGACAAAGACTCAAAGTGAAGCTTTTAGCAGAAATCATCAGAAATCTTGACAAAATCATCATGCTAGATTTCTTGGATCTGCTACTGCAGAAATTTACTCCTGCAAATCATCTGCTACTGGCTAATGCCAGAATCTGAATACCAGAGTTGATGGACCACAGTTCTGGCCAGTTTATGTTCTCAATACCTACGTAGAGTAGATCTGTTTAATAACTAAAACGGATGATAACCAGATTGAAAGTATTGAAAATTACTGAGAAGGTGTTTCTAGGGAGACCCAGATGAGCTGCAAACACAACAGAGGGACTAGCCTGGAATACTTATTTATAACCTGGTAAACTAGAAATAAGATGCATTCATATAAACTAGACCACAGTGACAGGGGATTTTTTTTATCATCATATATAAACTTCTGCTATTCAGTGTTGCTGTAACGTATACTACTTTCTTTTCACATTAAAAAAGCAAAGCAGATTTGTCTTCCTCTGCTTCTGATGTAGCTGTTTCATACAGCTACTAATCAGTTCAGAAGATGAGGACTACCAATAACACATTGTGGGTCACTCTTTGTAGCACTTCCTTCACTTTTGTAAATTTTTAATGCCTTTCCTCCAAGACTGTCCCAAACACTGAGGGACCAAATTTAACTTATGTTCCTATTACAAGACGTAATGTTGTGTTTCAGGTGCATTTTCATTTTTAAAATTGAAACTTTAATAAATGCAACCTAAAGTAAAGGACAAGAAGATGCTGTCATAAACTGCATGTATGACCCTTCAGAGCACAGGTGACCTAAAGCATTTATCTAAGAACTCCTATCACAAGGACAAGTTATTGAAGCATTTGTACAGTAAAGCAACTGAACAGTAAAAGTTCTTGATCACATGGTGTGGATGGTCTAATTTTAATTATTCAAAGACAGAAAAAAAAGATGTTAGATCACACCTCTATTTTTGTGGCAGTTGTCCCTGCAAAAGGAAATGCTATTGAAATGAAAACTGTGCCTCAGTGGGTGGAATATATTTTAGTTTTCATTTTCATTGTGTGTTAAACAAAAAAAATGTGGGTGAGAATAAAGATGACTTCCAGAATGTGTTTCTTTTTCTCTACATATGTTGTGGGGTTTTTTTCTTTGGCATGACAAATGCTTACCTGCCTTACTCAAATGGTTCCTTTCCAAGTTTAGCAATTATCCATATAATAATAAATCTCCATTTGAAGACATTTAAAAAAACAGATGTTGAAGTAAGCAGATCACAAGGATTCCATTGGAGATCAATGAGTCTCTAGGCATTTTCAGAGAAAAATTATGACCACGAAACACCTCAACTGCTCTTTTGGGACTGCTACAATCTATTGTCTCAACATAGCTGCTGGTTTTTGAACTGTAAATCCATTCACATGTGGAGAAATTAATGTGGATGGTCAGTTTACCTTTTCTCCTACAAATGTTAAAAATTTACTTGTTCCTGACTTGCTTTTTTTCTTCCACAGCACCCAAAAGCATGAATAAATATAGAAAGCTCATGATCACTACTTTTTTCTTTTTTAACCTTCAAAACAGTTTGGGTCAGCAGAGAACAGAACAGCAAGCGAAAACTTTGTGCTAGAAGTACAACAACAAAACCCACCCCACCTCCAACACATAACATAGCCTGCACCTGAGTGGCTATTAGTCTCCAGACTAATAGTTTTCAGTCTGGAGCTGATCTGAAGATGTTTGAAGGTATTTCTGCTGAAAGACAGCATTGGCTTGATTTTCCAAAATGTTTATAGCTCTTAATTCCTATTTTGCAAAATTGTCTCAGGAAGAAGAAATCTGACTTAAAAAAAAAAAAAAAAAGAAAAACAAATTAACCCATCACGCCTGTGGCATTCTTCATCCTGGGCTGCATTTCCAGAATGTCTCTTCCAGTAGCAATCTGAAAAGATTCAAGCAGTCCTTCCAAAAGTGGTGTACCCACAGAGTATCAACCCAAATCCATCACATGTTTGGGACCTTACAGCTTGATTCAAACAGTCTGTGGTGAATAAACAGACAGCAAGCAATGTTTAACCAGCCTTCCCTGAGACAACCAAGATTTCTTCTCCTAAAATTGACTTTCCAGTAGAAGCTGTGCTTTCCCAGTCCTTCCAATGGTTTTCTTGCTCCAGAATTTGTCCAGAAGGGTAAGGGGCATTAACATGGGTATTTAAAAGACTCTGACTTGCAGTCAAGCACAGCTGCATTGGTAACTAACTGTTCCTCCCCACAACATAAGCAAGCTGAGCATAGGGCAGACATATGGCAGCTGGAGCTTATTCCAGTGGATGCTTCTGGGGTGAAAAAATGACAACTTTGCTCAGGAGACACTAACCTCTATCTGTGAGGGAAGGGATTTTAAGCTGGGGGTGAAGAGAAAGGAGGTCAGCTGCAAGAGGTAGAGGCTGGAAGGAAGATAATCTTTAGGGGAAAGGCTGAGGAAGCTGAACACCTCAACATCTGCACCACACATCCCCTGCTAAAACGTGGTGGCCAGCACTGAAGAGCAGCAAATGGGAAGGAGACAACTGGAGATCACCCCTGCAGCAACAGACTGACAAGCAGCAGGAAGCCAGAAAAACAGAGAACTAAAAAACAGCACCTGTTTAAAACTCATCATCTGGAAAAATGCAGCATTCACTCAGAGGTGAGCAGATGGAAAAGACATCTACAGCCTCTTAAAGGAAAGCCACTGAGATACAAAATTCAAGACTCTTCATTATCGGCCTTAGGCCCAGAATAACTCTTGGAGATATATTGCCAAGGTTCCTATTTTCCCCTGATATTTATAGCCACTCAGCCACATTTGATTTCCAGTTAATATAGGCAATAAAGAATCACATTTTACACAGCAGTGAACACCACACACCCCCTGAGTGCCAGGTGAGTTGTTTTACAGTGATTAACATTAGGCAACTGTTTCAGGAGAGGAAGCGAATGCTGACTTATCTGTCTGCAACAGAAGGGGACAAGTGGGTGACAGTGTGACACACACTCCCAGCTTTATGCCAGACAAGCAACCCTCTGCACGATGTCTCCTTTCATTATTGCCTGTGACCACACAAGCTTCTTCAGCTCATCTGTATATTTCAAATTTGTTCCTACTTCACCGCCTCTGTGCCCATCTCAGCTACCAGATGTCATTTCAGCACGCTGTACAGTAGTCTGTACCACACCAACAAGGCAGAAGATGCTTCCCTTCCATGAAATGCAATGAGATGACTCAGATCAAAGGATATTACTGCTAACCTCGATGATAACTTTCAGCTAAGGAAGGGAAAGGCTTGAATTCAGGATTCTTTATTTCAGCTGCATTACCATCCAAAACCACGTTACTCATTTCTAAACAAAGAATTCAGTAAACCTGGTATCTTAAAGTGCACATAAGTGGAGATGAGATCACTGAGAAAAGCAACAATACAGAAACAAGATTAATAGGGCAATAAATAGCTAACAATTAGGTGAGTCAACTTGATTAGACACATAAAGGTGCATAGTGCTTATTCTAATTTATGAAATTAAACAAGGCAAGAAGGAATATTCTGGGCAAATGCGCTACAGCAATAGAGAAAAAATAACATATTTTGGGAGGATGCCTAATTTTTCATAGTCTATTTTTCAGAGGTAGAAGAAATTATTTTATCACTGTAATAAGAGGCTTCTTTCCCTTCACTGCCACAAAAGCAGCTTCAAATTCATCAGTCTTGAGAACAACTCTCTCAAAATAACCAAGTATAAATCTGTTGGATGATGCTACTGGGGTCACAAAAAGAAAGAAGATTTGGGACAGATAAAAAAAAATAAAGGAGAAAAGAATAGCATGAAAAACTAGGTTATGGCAGTGTGTTAAAAACCTCACAAAGAAAAGACAGCATGTGTATGAGGCAGAGTGGACACCTTCCTTTCTCCAGCAAGATAAATATTCTTCCATCTGAAGGAGTTGTTCTTCTACAGTGTGAGGGTCCTGGCAGCACAGCTCATTTCACAGGCATGCAGGGTGAACACTTCTAGCCATTGTTTTAGGTTATTCCTCAAAGGCCCACCACCTCAGCAAGAGACATGCAACAAGAGACAAGCCATCTACTGTAACACTTACCAAAGGAGGTGGTGTTGGCTGTACTGTGTAGGGGGGAGGTGGCATATCTGTTATTTCTGGATCATCATGTTCACTTTCACTGTAGCATTCTGAAGCAAACATGGAAAATGAGCAAAAGCAAAGTGTTAGACCAACTCTCATTTATTCCTCACAGAGCTGTGGTAACCAAAGATGACCAAGTAGCATGTCCTGGGCTGCAGACCACGCTGTAACAAGTCTGTGTCTCCTACAGTGAAAATTAACTCACTTGTGATAATGTTACAGTACTTCAAGGCAATTTTTTTTTTTTTCCTTTTTAAGTAAAAAAAAAAAAAAAAAAAAATTGCTAATTTGCTATGAATGGAAACATTTGGTGATGCAGCTCTTGATAGCTTCACAAATAGGCCTGGGTAGGGTTTCTTTGTCCTCCCTTAGCAGCCTTTAAAAGAGAGGCTGCATCATGTATAGTAGGAGTTAGGGAGACCTGTTGAAAGTAGCAGATGCTGTCTCTTAATCTCTAACCGGTAAGTTTTCCTGGAGGTAGCAACAGGCGTTGGTGTTTTGACTGCAATTTTGGAGAAAACAGATTGCTTGCATGGTGCTTTGGAAACCATAGAGCAGCCCCATGAGAGCTGTCTGTCACCACATGGTAGCTGACATAGGCACACTGTGCAGCGTGGCAGTACACGTGCAGAGCTAGTACTAAAATTAAACACAGAACTCTAGGACTATACACCCTACTCATTTTTATTTTTTCAATATGAAGCAATCTGGTAGAGCCTTGCAGTCTTTTGACATGTGGCAGAGAAGCAGTTGGGTTGTTTTTTCTGTCACCTACCTGTGCAGCATTTTCTCAGATGCTTTTATAAAGTGGATTAAATGAAGTAATAATCATTGATAAAATAAGACACAGAAAAGAGAAGGTGGTAAACCACTGCTTCCTATTCCCAAGTCCTGGCTGTAACCACTGGCTAAGATCACACTCCTCTGCTAAATTTCCTGGCATGCTTCAGCCTTTCACATCCAACCTTTATAGGAGCAAGTGCTTGCATCCTGCCCTGCAGCATATGTGGAGGGTGACAGTGCTCACCCCCACCCAACTGAGCTGGGGACATGAAAGGTTAGAATATACAATCAGAGCTTAATGAGGACAATGTGCGCAAGTGACATGTCACAAGAGCAGAGGCTACCCCTGCAGTCTCCTCCTCAGCCAGCACCCTGAACTCCCTTTCCTGCCTCCAGCGGCACACAACAGCTTGTGCTGTCCAAGACCAGCTGGGTCTCTCTGGTAGAAGCAACCCTCCAGCTCCGTCCCAGGTGGGCAAGGGTTGTTTACGTTTGGGGAGTGCTTTGTAAGAGTTGAGCTTCGTGGGTTCACACCACTAGGAAGCAGTGTGCTGGCAATGGTCTCTGGGAAATCACCTGTGATTATCTCATCTTTTCATTATAATGATACCTGAATGCTTTCTTTTTTGTTACTTTTATGTCATTTGGGGGCTTTCATAAGAACAGCGTGAGGGAAACAAATTTTTAAGAGAGGAGAATTTTACACATATGAGAGAACTTTCTAAGCTGTTAGCAAAGTGAAGAGATTTATTTTTTTTTTTATCCCATACTGTTTGCAGAACTGTAGAGGTTTTTAATGACATAACTACTACTCTATTTACTGGGAAAACGTCCTGGCACATGTTAGCATAAACGACTGAGACTGGATACAATAAGGCCTATATCAAATTCTAAGGTTCTGTTAATGCCTTCTTGAATAACTCTTAGTAAAGAGCTTATTGTTTCTACAGCTCCCTTTTTAGGCACACTGAAGAAGTGAAAAAAAATATCAACAGCTGTTTCTGATACTCTAAACAGGCAAATAGGGTTGGGTGGAGGGGGTTAAAATGTATGGAAAGTACATGAATACACAAGAAGTGACATTACAAAAGCCAAGACCCCCTGAAGAGTTATGGTGTGTGATACAGAGGGGAGAACCAGGTCAGCAGGAACAGAAGTGAATGTGGGTAATGACAGCATTTTTCTGAAATACAGCAATGCCTCTGCAGGGACACATCCACCCAGGCTTGTCAGTGGGGTGCTGAGCCCACACTTGAGGCAGCTGCTGGAGCACCTGAGACAAAACATACGTGGAAAGACAAGGAGGTGTTAGACACCAGAATGAGAATGCCTTTTTCTGAAGGGGAAATGAGCCACTGGTTTAAAAGCTGAAGTAATCTTGGCTATGTTGTGTTTATTGCAGGTCTATTAGATAACCTGTTGCTGAGTGGGTTATTTTGTATCTTCCTGTCTTTTTTTTTTTTTTAATTAAGATTAGTGGGCTGATTCATTTTGAAGCATTTTCTAACTCTTGATTCAGCCAACACAACCAATACTACACTTTTTTGAGGCTTTTTAAAAAAAATAATTTGTTTTCATGTACAGAATTTTACCATCCTCATCTTACAACAAACTTGTGAAGACACAGACAACATATTTGAACACTTCCTTCCTAAAATTGCCATGCACTTCTGGCTACATAGCCTAATACTCATTATAGACCTTTATCCTAATTAACTCAGACTGTTTTGATGCAAAACTGGGTTCAAAGAAGACACAGCATTTTGTAGGAATTTAGGGATATGGGAATTAGCAGGTTTTCTGACAAGAAATAAAGAGGAACCATGAACCGAAAACAGAGAAATTGATGAGACCTACTGAATCTCCAGAAATCAGTGATACTATGTTTACCAGCCCCAAAGCTGTTTTTAGTGGCAGAGTATAAATGGAGCCAGAATATAAACAGAGCTAGATCATACTAACCAACAATGGAATTACATGTCCAAAGCCTGGACCATAAATCATTACAATAGTCAGGGAAATGTCAAAAAGGATGCAGTGATGCTTAGACAAAGCAAGCTGTATCACTCATGTGTTCATACCACTACAAATACCAGTTACTTCATAATGACAGCTCCTTCATAACCTGAGCAGTTCTAAATAAGGTACTGGCTACCAGTACTCTAAAATTGGAGAGTCAAAAGGCCATACGATGATATGTATTCCTCAGGTCAGAGTCCATCCCTGGTTTGCTAACTACACTAGCTAGACTAGCTACAGCACTTCTTATTCTGAACTAGCTCATAGCGTATGTGTCCTCACCAGCAGCTTTTCCAAGCGCTCTGACAGGTGACTTGCTTTGTCCTCTGCTCAGATTTGTGATTCAGGTGCTGATATCCTCCCACCAAAAACTTCTATTAGGTCAGTGTGCAAATTAATAAATAAATAGCTAGGGACCCTTTAAAATTACTCATTCCACAATGAGCTCTTGGGCTTGGCTCTGAAACAAATTGTAGGCTTCAGCACACCACTACTACCACACATACCCCCCTCTCTCCCCCCTCCAACATTGCTGTTGAAACCTCCATGAACAGAGGAGACACTAGGGATGGATCTACACTGCACAAGGTGCTCCCCAGCTAGTGAGCTCCCAGGCCTTAGCACAACTTCTGTAATATACCTTACCAGCTCAAACCACAGAGTAGTGCAGCTGTTTCTCTTTGCGCTTAGTAGGTTTATAGCAAGCCAGCAACTTGCCAGAAAGTAGTTATCTTTCACAAGATCGCTGAGTGTCTCTCAGTGGTACTATTTCTCACCACTATTTCTTTTTCTGTGATTACCCTGGGCTGTGTCAGTGTCATTTCTCTGAACTCAGTTGACAGACAGACCCAAGTTGACAATTTAAAAGAAGGAAAAGAGCTGACAAAAATTTGGCCAAGCAAAAACTGGGAACATGATGTAGTTACACACTGAAGCTGCTGTTAGGAGCATACCTTCCTCATTCTTCCCATTGGGTGCCTGAGGGTCTACAGCCATCCCCAGCTTACTTAGCCACCTGTGTTTAAAACAAAGGGAATATAGAGTTAGGGATACTCACATGCTATTCGGACTAAGTTTTGTCCCTTTCAGATGTGTTCTGCATCACCACATCCATTTTCATTAACCTGAAGACTGTGGTGAGCAGGACTAGTTGCCTGGGACATCGTCTTTCCCTGATCCTGAAAAAATCACTACTGATGACCAGGGAGTTGCATTCATCAAAGCTAAAGGAAAAGTATTTATGTGTGCTGTAGCAGAACTTCAGTGGCTTAGTCCTGCTAGTGAGGGATCAGCTTTCACCAGAGTGAAGCAAAATGGATTGGAGCCATAGAAGACCATGTCAGCTGCCTTGGCCAAAGCTATCACAGCACAGTCTAAGAATCTAAGCCATTTAAAACCAGACTTTTTGACCATTCTATACTGCTTTCTTCAACTTTGTTTGTACTCCTGGTTTTGCTAAGTCTCACTTCCTGTGTTTCTTTAAGCTATTGATAGTTTTTTTTCCACTTCCCTTCCTAGCTGGCTGTGTTCTTCTAGTGCTAGAAACAATCCCTAGGTATACTTTTTCTATATTGTTTCATTCAGATCTATCCAGGTTTTAAGAACTTAACAAGTGAAAAGGCTCAAGCCTTTCAGATTAAAACTCAAGGCCTAAATAGGAAAGTATGAAAAACAGGAATTAAGGTTCATAACTCTGAAAAAACATTGTGCCTGATTTTGATTCTACTGAAGCAATGGAAAATTTGCTAGTAAGATCATTGTCAAAGTAATTGGATTCTTAGATTGCAGTATGAACAGTAGAGCCACGTAACAGTTCAAGAAAACAAAGTGACATTTCTGCAAGAGTGGACTATTGACTTTCTTCTAACAGCAAATAGAATGATATTTTTTTAATAAAAAAATTGTAACAGGAAAAAAGGTTTACTAAAATCAAGACTTCATTAACCAAAAGATCAGACAGATTGCTAGGAGCCATGTGCAATTGGCCAGGTAAATGCATGTAGCTAGCCAGCACACGTTTACTGTTCATGTGTGCATGACAATAGCAAATACATGCTAAATTAATGAAGCAAATTACTGTATTAATAAATCTACTATTGATTTAATATATATGCATGAAGAGTTACAGAAGGTCATGATCTGTCAAGCATTTATGCGCACCAGTAACTCGACACACATGAATGCCCCAGTGAGTTCAGTGGAACCACTCACATGCATATGTATTTGCAGGACTGGAGCCAAGAGAACAGATGTCTTTTAGCCTGTTTTGACATATGCGTGAGTATGCGTGTACTTTATGTATTAAATGCATGTATTTTATACTTTGCCAAGGAAAACATTATCAGTTACAACAGTGAAGAATTACTGTAGTGTAGTGTAAGCTGCTGTAATGCTAGGCTGTCTAGCTTTAAGCCAAATTGATATTTACTCTTGAAGTGGAGTTTGAAGAAAATCAGTCTGGGGACATAAGAGCTGGGACACCTGCATAGAATTCAATCACTCACTCACATAATACTAAACGTTTCAAAAGTGTCCTTAGGACACTGAGAATTTCCAACTGGGCTCCAAACTGGATGTTGGCACTCACTAATGTCCTCCATTAGCTCTAATTTTCGTTTTCCTTCTCCTTGCATCCTTCCCTGTCTACTCTCTCAATCAGGGTTACTTTCCCTACAGAAATATTCCTGTCCAGGTGTCCCTCATTCTTAGTCCTCCTCAGCCCATCTGCCTCAAGAGCTTCTCACTCTGTTCAGGAGCTCTGACAGGAAACATGGTGATACATGAACGGATGGTTCTCTCTCCACCATCTGTATGCATCTACAGATTTATGAACATAGGTATATGTACATACACTACTGTAGTATCGTACATCTCTGTATATATATCCCTTTTCATAGGTCAAGCATGTTCTTTCAACCTCTATCCGTTCCTGCTGTGGTAAATATGTATGAGGTCTCCTGTCTGTAGGAGGAAAGAACAGTAAATGCCTTATGAAGAATCTCACGAAGGTCACCAGCAGAGACATGATTAAAATAATGGATTAAGAAAGGAGCTCTCTTCCTATTTAGATTATACAGCTTTGTATCTGTATTTGGCCATTTAATGTAATAGCATTATGAACAGACTGCAATCTGAAGTAAAAAAATACAAAGATATGAGATGTATACAAATCAGCCAGAACTGGATCGATAGCATGGAATATCTATTTCTGATAGCTCAGTGGTTTCTAAAATGGTAGTATTTGTATCATTTTACTTCTTGATTCAAAACTCTGTGAATGAATTGTTGTTCTTATAGATATTTTTTGAAGGAAAATTGCTGATCTGCCATGAGGGTTGATTAACTGCAACATAATTTGGCACTGAAATAAATGCTTACATACTTTAAGAATCAGCCCTTCCTATCCCTGTAACCTTCCCTGTTAATTGACATGATACTCAAAGCAGACACTATAATTTTCCAGCCTTAGATCACTTCTGGGACAAGACTATATTAAGCTTTTCTCTCTTGTTAATTTCTTCCCTCAGTTGTCCTAAGGTGATGAACTTGCTATCAAATCCTAGCACCTCTCTAATGGAAAGGGATTTATACCAGCAAATATCATCAACATTAGTATCAAAATCAAGCTAATAATGGAATTCTGATTTCAACTGTCATTAGTGACCAAATAGCAGTAGGCTCCTTCTACACAGTGACCAGAAAATAAAACAGACTTAGTAATTCCCTGAATAACTTTGTCAACAACCACTTGAGAGGGAGAGAATGAAATTTCAAAGGGCATTCTCAGGCATGAGACAGGATGAAACATGGCCAGTCACTCCTACTTACGTGTTCATTTCCAGAACATTTTCTGCCGCAAAATAAAATGTCTTGATCTGTGGGTGGCTGATCTTAATAGCACTTCAAGAAAAGAAAAATAGAAGAGATATGAAGAAAACTGGTTTACGTAAGAAAGAAAACATAATAGCTGAATGAATTATTTAAAATATTTATTCACTCCACTATATTAATCTGGATCATCTTATCCATCCAAATAGCTCTTTCCTTAAAATGCTAGTGTATTTTTAGCTTATATCCTAGGCCACACATTATTCAGAGGATATAAACTACAGGAACAAAAAAGGGAGGAATAAAGAATAAAACAAAGACTTTCATTATTGAATTACATAATTCTGTTGCATGCCCACATCTCAAATACCATGTGAAGTTTTTCTTCCTGCAGCTCTGAAAAGCAAAGTAAACTTAAAAAGAGTTCCAAGAAAGCACCAGGAGTGACCCAAGGTATGAAACAGCTTCCATGAGTGGTTAATCAGGCTGAGACCCTGCAGCATGGAAAACTGATGGTGGGGGGAAGGGACATATGGAATAATAAAATCACAAGTGGCATGCAGCAGGTGAAGAGTGGCTGACTCTTCACTGTCTTTTCATAAACCAGTTTTAGGAGGCACCAAAAAGGCAACTAGATGGCAGGCTGGAAACAAACAAAATGGATAGTCCCCTGCCGAGGTTTTAGTTGAACATCCACCACTAAGACTTTCAGTCTTTTTTGTTTGGTTGGTTGTTTTTTTCCTAAAACATAGTCTCCAATCCAGGGACTGTGTGGTTTCTGTCTTTTGTTCCTCATTAAGCAACTTACTCTATCCCATGGAAGCACACCCAGCTGACCCAGCAGCTCTGGTCACTCCTCACAGCTCTCTTGATTTACCCTATCCCAAGTAAGTGATGAACATGTGTTTCTCTTGCAATCACCTACAGCCAACAGCTGCAGTAGTGAAGGGCAACATTTTCCCATGGTACTGTACCATAGGACTCAACTTTGAGAAAACAAAATAGAGCTCTCCATATTCAAAATAGATGTCCCCTTTCTTTGGAGGAGTCAAGCCCACAGTTAACCTCAGAAACACCTACAGCTAATCGCAGTGTGAGATCTCAGTAGAAGTACAGAGGCTTTCTCTTGAGGGACAGGATAAAAACCATGCTGAGCTTTGTAACTTTGAAGAGCAGCAACACCCCTCCAAACCTTTGAAGTGTAGTCAGAAGGGGCTGGACATCAGTGCTGCATGTGGTGTTTGGAGAGAATATTTTGAAATGTGTACCCTGCCAAACAGGGTTTGTATTCACTGTACAACCAAAGGCTTCAAGTACAGCCCAAAGCTGCACCACTGAAGCCTAAAGAATAGTTCCAGCTTGGAGGTAATCAGCATTACATGCACTGTTGTTGACCTCCTTACCTACAAGAAGGTATCCGAGATGGACTGCAACTTGCTCATAATCAGTGAACAGAGGAGGGGGAAAAAAAGCATCTGGCATGCTGATCTACTGTTTAATTTGTAGTTTTAACACAGCACATCTGGTAGAGTATTTTCAAAAATAGTTTTGCAATATGGTTTTCTTTCATTAGCTCAATTAATATCTCATTATTAATACAACACAGAAGAACTCCCCACAGCTTCATTGCCAGGCACTACTGAGATTCAACTCCTTACAATGTTGTAAAAATCATGCAAAACTGGAGGCAAGAGATAAACGTACTGCTTTTTTTTGCATTCAATTGCTCGATCCACACTGAAGTCTGGAAGTCTGATAAATCCTTCTGCTTTTTCAGCCTGTAATAAAAAAAAAAAAAAAAGTAAAAATCACCGCATCAACCTATTGGTAAGCTGCCAGACTCCAATGCTCAACAATATTTAACATGCAAATGCTTGGTTTTGACAGCTTTTTATACTGTGAAAATATATGCTTATCACCATGGGGACAGATCATATCCAGTGTTTTGGCCGATATTTGGGAACAAGAAATATTCCTATACCAGCTACTACTTGTGCAAATCCTTGGTGCTAGAAAGCCACCGTTCCTGTCTTTGCAAGTGGCAGTCTGTGAGCATGGGATTTGTTGTACACTTCTAGATATCAAAGTGGCTGCAAGAGGAAGGATCATCAATTCCTATGACAGTGCTGAGGTAGATTCCCTCTCTTCACCTCAAAGAATTTGTATCGGAGCACCCTTACCTAAGATTCCTGAATAAGTCATAAGTCTAGTCCAGAGACTGAAATTGTCCAGGGCACAATTTAGGTTTGGATCAAACTAGGACTAAAACCAGCAGAAAGCTGTTGGAACCCAATTCCTTTGCAGCCATCAGTGATCACACAGCTTTCAACAAAGAGACCAGCCTTGCTTTGTGCATAAAACACAGAAAATGAAACTACTGAACTTCAGCTCTAAACCCAGAAGACCCTTAAAAGAGATGGATAACATAAGAAAGGATGAATAAGGGTTATATCGTCTTTTCAAGTCTGGATATTACATACAATCTCAAAGGAGCATTTGTTTCATTATACAGCACACATGCATTTTTCACAGATGCATAACAGCACCACATATAATGATCTATATATTTTTGAAAAATACATGTCTGAAATAATGTGAATTCAGAAGTGACCCAAAATGATGCTAGGCAGAGATGGTCTCCCCTGGGTAATTGTAACATGGACTATTTTGTAGGCTCATTTATATACGCCTGTATGTAAAGCAGAGGCAATATGAGCTGCTTCCGTGCCAGGAGGTGAAACAGCGCAAGGGGATGGCCCTATGGAGCTGAGCTCTGTTGTTACGAACACTGCAAACCAACCTCAGAGAGCTTTGGCCACCCAGATATCACTCTCCTCAGAAATTTTCAGGCATGGTACAGGAGGTAGCAAAAGCCAGACAGACATTTACAGTACGCTGTTTATATGCAGACACCCCTTTCTGGATGGGAGAGGGTGTACAGAGCACTGGCACCTCTGTTCTGGGTCAGCTGAACCCTGTCAGAGCAAAACTGAAGTTATCAGCCTCAAATCCCTGTTCTTGCTGCCTGCAGCTGAAATATCTTTCTTTACTACATCTATCTATATTCACCAAATCAGGAGCAATTAGCCTTGGACTCTGTAAGAGGAGCAACGATGCAGGCAAAAGTCTATAGCACATAATATCAGGAAAAACTGTACTTTCCAGACTATAGAGAGCTTTCATTCATGACTCACAGTTTTGCTGCTCCCAGCTCTTATCCCTGGGCACATTAAAATTCTGAAAACGTACACTGAGTTAAAGCAGGTAAAATATACACAACAGTTACAAAGAGAGAGGACAAATGAAGATGACTGACAGCTACTCAAGTCACATTATGCATGAATATAAAGAGACTATAAAAAGCTGTTCACCGAGACAAGTCTTTGAGCTTTGATGCTCAAAAGCATGAATCTCTGAGAACAGAAGTATGGATACAGAATGGATATTTCAGTGGGTGGCTTCCCTGCACCTTTGCTTATCTGTTCTTTGGTATGCAATAACCATCATTCCTGAAGCTTACATGTATTAAATTTGCATTTTGCATCTTCACTAGTAAATGGTTTTGCCTGCTCCAGGACAAAAAAAAAAACCTCAAACAAACAAACAAAAAAGCCCAAAACACACTTGAACAGTTTTGTTACTTTCAGTACAGAACCATGATGTTTATCAGCATCTGGGCTGGAAAAAATTTTTGGGTTTGCAATGTGACTTCATTTGTAACAAAAGAGTGCTTATTTATTTGCTATTCTGTTTTTTTAACTTTCTTTGACTATATTTGTATGTGTCCGACTTGTTTAGAGCCTGGCTTGATGAGCTTCTGTTTCCATTCCACAGGCTGGAAGTTAGTGAGAGTAAACTCACTGAGATAAAACAACAATTAACTAAAGAAACAAAAGCGATTAGGGTTTTTTAGTCTTTTTTTTTTTTTCTTTACATGTATATTTCAGTCGATTACACCTTAAGCTAGTATTTCCATCCCAGAACCATAGTTACAGCAAGTATATGGAGATGAGCGGATGAGTACGGGTCAATAAAAGAGGAGTCCTATTCAGGGACTGCATTGTACTAGAGATAGAGAACGCACTATCCTTCATTTCTGTACCAAAAAGTGTGGTAACTCACTACACCAGGTGCAGCAAGAACATTGATATTCCTGTTTGGTTCCCAAGACCAGTTTAAGAACACCATAGACAACTCAAAAAGAGTTCATGAGTTATCAAAGCCATTATTACACACATTGACACTTTCTTCTCTGTAGTATGAATCAATAAACCCAGTTTTAAAAAAGCAGAGACCCATAAGATCCATAAGAAGGTACCTTCTCACCCATACACTAATAAATCCATGGCCTGAGTAAGTAAGCCATCAGCTGGGTGAGTGGGTTGACTAGGTTTTTGAGTAGGTTTGCCTTACATGTTACAAATGCAACCACAGCTCAGTAGCCATTGGTCTAGTTTGTATGCCACTAATAGCTTAGGATGCTGCACAAGCACTCATGAGGTGATTAAGTCTATGCAATGACATTAGATGACACTGTCTTTACTGTCAGTGTATGCAAATGTTTGAGCATTCAGATTTTGTTTTGGGTTAATGAATTACCAGGACCCAGTAAAGCCAGCGTGGGGACACTCATCAGAGGTGCTTCCACTCATGCAGAGATGGAACTCCGCATGCTGGGATTGAACCGCTAACATATCCAATGACTATCTAAATTAGAGGATTACTGTCTAAATTGTTAATGAAAATAGGTCTGTAGGCTTTGATTTCAGTACTTCACATTTACCAGGCTTACTTACTACGGAGAAATCTCCAGACTCCTTATGCAGTATTTGACATGTTCCAGTTGGTAAAAGATTATGTTTTCGCATATGCATACGCTCCCAATACGTTCAGACATTCAGATTGCGTATTAATTCTGTGATTTCACATTTGTTCATTTATAAGAAAAGGAACTTTAAAATGTTTCATTTTATGTATGAGTGAAAAGAAGGAGGTTAATGGTATGATTTCTTTTTAATGAACTATTGGTATATACCTCAAATATGCCAACTATATAACAAAAAATGGGGGGTTGATGAGTATGTAGCTCCATAATTACCAGAAAAGGGGAAGGAAAAAAAAGAAAAACAAGTCATAACAATAAAACATTACAACTGTTCTTACAGTCAGCATATACAGTTCCAAATAAACACTAGGAACACAACATGTGAAAGTCATCCTTTCAGTCATTCTTGGAATGAAAACGACATTTTAAAACATTAAAAGTCTATAGAAGTCTTAAATGTTTTCTTTTCTCAAAAATATTGTCTTTAACATCACTTTAAGCGTGCTATTATTTAACTCACACATTTCACTCAAACTTCCTTCAGATTTTATTGCAATGCTGTAAAATAGCCCTAAAAAGTGTAGATTAAAAGGACCTTGACCTGTTTCCTATTTAATTAGGATGTTTAAAAGAATAGGCTGTTATCTCTTGTGGGTTTTATGCAGGTTAGCCTAACACATAAATCGGCACTTTTTGCTACGCCCAATTGTTATTGTTGAAATTGTTTCCCTACAACAGTTTCTGAAAATGCTTGATGCAAAAAGAAAGTAACCATATTTTCACAGAAATAGGCTTTTTGCTTAAAAAGGTTTCATAGATTTCTGAAATATAATGCATAAATCCACTGAAAGAGGCCAATATAATTTTTTAGCTTGCCTCAATACATTGCCTGAATGTTGTGGCTTTAGGAGATATAGTAAATAATTTAATAGACCTTTTTCAATATTTAAAGTGAATGTAATGGTGCAGAAAGATTTTTTTTTAAAAATTATGCTGCAAAGTGAAAGTATCTAGTTACTGTGGAATAGCTTCAATCTGTGATTCAGGGCACTCCTCATGGCTCTCCATCACCATGTTTCAGCATTGCCCCCAGAAAACCCTGTGGATGTTGGAGAAACAGATCAGTCCTCAAGCCTTTTTAGTCTTTTTCTCTCTGCCAAGTACACCAGTGGCGCAGCCTATAGAACTGTGAATAATCTGCGTCAGATACTGGACCAGAGGTCCTCAAAGCCCTTGGCATAATCAGCCAACATCAATGACTTTTTCATCCACATACGCAGCTACTGTAACTCAAAGGAGAAGATTTCTGCTTTAAAAGACTGCAATTATACAGCTCTTAGTAAAGCTGTTTGAGTGAGGACCAATTTAAATGCAGTGAAAAGGGGAAAAAAAAAACAAAGATAAATAGTGACAGTAGATCACAGCCTGCAACCCTTTGATTTTTATATTTATATTTCTTTTCAGTTGAATCCCCATGACAACCATCATTAACACATCCTGCAAAACTGTATTTCAACTCTATCTGAAAAAACAGCTGAGCTATCCTAAAGGCCCACAAGACAGAGACATTTAGTCTTCTGACCCTTTTCAGCCAACACTATCCAACACAGTTGCAACAAGCTCAGAGAGTCAGGAGCCTGGGATTACACATGACAATCTTCCCCTGCCACTCCTTTTCCTATGCAGGAGAACTGATTCCCTACAGAGTTTCAGTATAAGTAAAACTGCCAAAGGGGCGGATCACATTCTGTCCTCTAAACACTTGTCTTCAAGACAGCTGCCTACAGAGAGCCGAACAGCTGCCTACTCAATAGAAGAAACCAAATGCTAACAAAAAGTGGTTGTCCAAGGAGCCTGGTATTTCTGAATGCACCCAGAAAGTCTGACTGCTCAGATCCATTTTTTGACATTTCCCATGTTTCCATTGCAAAACCATCCCTTTTGTGTTTCTTCCTAGTCCAAACATCTTCACCTCCCCAGACTTTGGGCACCTCCATGCTGCAAACAAAAGTTTACCTGCCTCATGTGTTATCCATGTATTATACCAAGAGCAAGCTTATATGGGAAAAAGTTTCAGGGCAGTGTACCCAAGCCTGCTGAGACTATCAGGGCCCTAAAATCACCACTCACTGCACCTCAGCTAACCTGGATTTACCTGTGTGCTCTGGTTTGCGTTCAGTGAGGAAGCTTGGCCCTTGGTGTGTCTGATCCGCTATTGCTGACCCTTCTCAGCATTTTATTATTTTTTCTTTTTTGAGCAGTGGCTTGCACAACATATTTTATGTTAAATTCAAGGAAATACCATCTGTAAATATCACCACAAGCGTCCTATATTGCCTCCCCCAGCCTGCCTCATGTGAAAGACCCAGAACCAGAGTTCTGAGGCTTGAAGGCAAATTATATCAGTGACAGAAACATCCAGAGCTTTGTGGGAGCCTGAAGACACTTCATAGAGAACATGGTGTCAGCTGAGGTTACCAACCCAAATCCAAGACAATACACGTTCCTGTACAAATTCCACCCACTCCCTATTTTCTCCATCTCTGTTAGAAAAAAGGTCCAGCACCCTGTTGCTATGCTACAGTTGTCAGTGTCTGGCTGACTGCAGTTTCCACACAGCCACGAAAAAACATGCTTGTTTCTCACAGGAATGAAACTAGTCAGGCAGAGCTACGGGCAGCCAGTGTGCCCTGGTTCCTTTGACCTCAGCACTGCTCCTCCACCAACACCTTTTGCTTCAGCTTGTATAATAGGGCCCATCATGAGAACCGTCAGGCACATGAGGAGCAGGACTTCTTTTTCCACATAACTATGAACTTAGGATTGTCATCTTGAATGCCCTGTCGGGACAGAAAATTTACTTCACTGAAGGCAATGGAAGTGTAAGCAGCGTTAAAGCCAGATAGTAAGAAGAAATATCAAGCAAGTTATTATGTCGCTGCTATTTCTGTTTCATCAATTGAAACATGAAAATATCTGTGAAAATACAACAGGTCTAATTCATCTCAGATATGAGACTGAGCATGGCTGTGGTCTCATCAGTTTAAGTAAGCAGATCTTAGCACAGGACACCTTCCCATACCTCACCGTTACTGACATTCTGCAAACAATGCCTGAATCTACACTTGTGCAGAGGCTGCACTTGAAGTTGTCCAAGGAAACCTTGGGGTTTTAACATAAAATAATGTGTGAGAGTTGGCAGAAGCTGAAAGCAAAGGAGATGCTACCAGCTAGCATGTTTACAAGAACTGTGATAGGTGAGAAAGGCTGACATAAGCCAGCAGAATTTTGAAGCCATATGACCTCTTTAGAGCATTTGAAATAAATGTTGCCACCCGTTCTTCAGCCTTGTTCATCTGGGGGCAGTCAGTAGCAGCCAGAAAGCAGGCATGAACTAAAAGGACGAGTTCACACAAATGATAAATCCTGTCTAGAAGCACTGGAATCAGCATGCCCCATAGTTTCTCTGGATCTTGCGTGCAGATTTTAGCCAGGCCAGTGGAACTATAGGAAGTAGAGGACTTTGCACAGCTCCCTCAATACCCTTGTCTTCCCAGAAGGCAAACTTTGTATAGTCTTGCCTTGTTTTATTTCCTCTCAGCTTGTTTATTCCTCAGAATAATTCCTTTCTGACACTTTCCCTGTCTAAATGGCACATCAGCCAGCCAGCTCACCTTTCTTTACACTGCTTGGACAGAAGTAGGGTATTAATGCTACTGATAAGTTTATCTGCCGTGTCTCTTTCTATTTTCTCTTTCTCACATAAATGTATTTGACTTGGTCTTGAAAGGAAGCTACAGCAGACTATCATGTCACAAAAACAACAGCCCAAGACCAATAGAGTTGTTTTCAGTTTTCCTTCCGAAAAGGATAACTAATACATCTTTAAATGCTAGTCAAAATTTTCATACTGTTTAAAAAAAAAAACAACACTATACCCACAACTGGAGGGAGAATGTGAAATACTCTTTACATGAGTGAAGTTTTGTTTAGAGCTTGGGGATTTACTTTTTTTTAATGTTTTAAGCCATTTTTTTTGTTCCCTGAAACAGCAAGGTTTTTCATAAGGATTACTGCAATAGAAATAAAACAAGTGGGAAAAAATCCAGAGTGCATTTAATTTCATTAAATGCTAAGAATTCGTAAGGGTTTCTTTAATTTTTCATCCTTTGCTGGGCCTGGGACATGCTGATTGCCAGAGCAGCTCATCTGTATTTAGAGAACCTGTTGCCCATCCACAGTTCCACACTGAAGCTGCTAAGTTTCAACCTATGCTGTTGCTGGTGTCCCCTAACCCTCTGCACACCCTAGTTCTGGGCTCTGTCAGTCCATCATTTGAATGTGATGGCAGGTTTTTAGATGTAACAGTGCAAGACAACAAGGTAAAGAGAAAAATTATGCTCAAATCTTCATTGGATGGGCAAGACACCCTCTGCCCTGTCAAGGTCAGCTGTAGCAAACAGGCTGGAGTAAAGCCAGCTGATGACTGCTCACTGCTGCTTTGCACTCAGCCATAACCTTTCATTAAGGAGGTTACTCTGGATTTCTCGTTGCCTCTTTCTCCCATCACCCTTTTTCAGCTTTTAATTCCTAGTTTCTTCAATTGATTAGAGGAACTCAGGCCTTGCTGTTGTTCATCTTAGATTATTTCACACTGGCACAGAAAGTAGAGTAGGCTACTTGGGCTCTATCAGCAGGAAAGAAATGCTATCTATACCAGCTGTCCTGAGGGAAGCTTATCCTCTGAATAGAAAGCTGGACCTTGAATTCGAAACAGTGTCGTCCTGCAGATTTGACATTCGGCATCAACTCATCAGAGCAAAGAGTCAGCAGAATGTGGTAATATTTAATTACACTGCTCTGGATGAAACATCAGCAAGACCAGGAGTAAAAACCTCACCAATTGACACTGCTCGTATCTGCAACCCTACCAGTATGAACTGGGGAGAGAGAGAACAAAAAAAAAGGGAGAAAAAAGGTGCAGTAAACAAATAGATTAATCTCAGCGTTGAAGGGGATTGAGAGAAACACAGGAGAGACTTCTCAAAATTAAACTAATTAGCAGTGAAAAAGTGTTCCTGTTTTGAGTCTTGATAGCAAGTGTCTACAAACTGCCAAACCCCAGAAAACCTTTCCCAAATTCAAATGCCACCACTGCCTGTGAAGAGCAGCTTTAAAGGGCAGAACAGACAGCAAGTTAACATTTTACAAGTACTTGCTGAACTTGAAACACAGTTTTCTGCATGTTTCACATTCACATAGACACTTCCCAGATTACAAGAAATGTCAGGACTAAGAAATAAACCCAGTCATCTGTACATTTCCCGGGTGCATCTAAGTTGTGATCCCTGCTTCCCTTCTCTTGGTCCCAGCAGATCTGTTTGTCCAGCACCCAGAGCTGGATGAACGGTGTACTCACCAACTGACTGCTGTACCAATACAGCGATGACTCCTTCAGTACACACCAGAACTTTTTCCATTTGTTGCCAATGAAAGCTCCTTTTTCCTTCTTTTTGTAGAGCCATCCTTGGCAATCAGCTTGCCCCAGCTCTTTACACGATATCCTCCGTCGGCTCATTATAAAGAACCCTGTGCCATTAAAAATACAGTGTTCTGCTTGTTTAAAAGTGCATCACCAGGAAAGATGCCAATTAAAGATATCAACCTTACTTAGCGAGTAATCTCAGCAAGTCACCCAAGCATATCTTAAAATACACGTAGAAATCTTTCAGTTTTATAACGGCTGTGACAGTAACACACGCTCATTTGAAAGGCATTCTGATGTGCAGAAGGAAAATAGTAAGCTGCAGATAAAGCAGATACTAATTAATGTTAAATAGCAATATAGGAGTTTTTGTAAATTATAAATACATCCTTTGATCCTTTTAAGAGAAGCATGCATGTATTAGCTTTCACACAGCTGCACTGAAAAGAATACATCTATTAAGTCAGCTAGAGAAAAACTATTATGCCAAGTACATGAAAACCGCTAGTGTGTGTGTATGTGCAGGCAGCTGATTCTACCTCACTCATTTTCAGCTTTGATTCAATTAACATACCGCAAGGATTTAGTCCAAAGGAACAGCCCGTTGTCATTTTTCTCAGAATCAGTGCAAGAATCAGTGGAGTTACAAAGCAGCCTTCCACGAGCTGAGTAGCAGTATAAAATCCTCACCCTCCCAAAAATAAGACATACTAAGAAAATAACAAAAGAGAAACCCAGGAGAGAAAAGAAAAATCAATCTCTCATTACCTTGACTTTTCTTTTTTGTCTTCTGACGCAAGGGAACCTGTAAGAAATGCAGGAAGGAAAGAAAAGAGGAAATTTCAGATTGTGTTGCAACATTTGTGTAGAAAGGGGAGGGGGAAGCTAGAGAAGGACGTTGTGGTGAAGCTGGTGGTATATGCAGGATGGAAACGCATAACCCACTCACTGCTGAAGGGATGTTAGCAGCTGAAGCATAAAATGTGTTAATTAAAATTGATGTATATAATAGTTGAGCAAGAGCAAACGTAACTATTACATGTGTCTGTCTACTGATGCTTCCAGTTTCACACACATAGGCAGCTTCTACTTTGCTATATGTTTGCCTGAATTATATTCTGTGTTTAGAAGTTAAAAAATAGAAGTCAGCACTCCAGCATTTTAATGCTTCATTACACTCCACGAGGGGGATTTACAAACGTGGGAATATTAAAGATATACACCAGAAGCCTGTTTGTCATTTATCTCATTCTAAGATATTCTGAAAAACAAACAAAACCAGAAATTTATTTTTCCTTTTTTTTTTATTTAGGGCAGAGAATGTATTTCCCCCATGTAAGACTTTCAGAATATTACTTTAAAAAAAAGAAAGAAAAATCACACAAACCTGGCAGATTATCCAAATTGTAAAACATACATATGCCAGAAGTTTGCCATTCCACACATGAGTTTTAGTCACTGCAAAAATAACACAATTTTATTATATTTACTTATTTGCAGTTTATGTATTTTATCCCACATAAAGGCATAGGAAATGAAACTAAAAGAGAAGACCAGAGACCAAAAAAGAGGTCATTAGAAATATAAGGTCTGACTTTTGGAGTAAATTCTCAGACAGGCTGGTTGCTCATGTGATTGTGAACAAATCACTTGACTTCTCTTTGCTTCAACCTTTCCATCTTTAGCATGGGAGCAAAAGCATTCACCTTTTTCCATTTTTAGTGAGGTTTTGAAGCCTCCAGAGGACAAATGCTGGATAAGTGTATGTTGGATAATGTATATTTTAATATGCCAGCCACAACATTGCTATGCAAAGCTGGTAGCTACCTGATCCACTGCGGAGCTACGCTGTGAACATCCCTAATGCAGCCCCTCTGCCTAGCCAGACAGCTTTTCAGGAAAACAAAACCCCATTTCACGTAATTATTGAAGGATCTGATGGCTCTTCTCACAGGCACATTAAAGGTGAGTAAAGCTACGCCATCTGGAAATAGAAGAGACCACTGTCACCAAGGTTTACAAGAGCTAGAACTTTCTCTAACCAGTGATCTTTGCAGCATGCATCATAGAGTGCAGAACCGCAGATCACAGTTGTGTGCTTTTCTTTGCTTATTTGAGATGACCTGAACTACACACTTGTGGGAGGCTTTACCAGGAAGGAATAATCCCAGACTCCTGCTTAATCATCATATATTCATTTTCCTTTTCTCCTTCTCCTCCTTTCCTTATTTTTTCCTTAATTTTACCACTGCCTCTCTCTGACTATTCTCCATGACAACAGACAAAGAAAAGCAATGAGAAAACACATCAGCTCTATTAGAGACTCTGCTATTTCCCCATCCTATATGGTCCACCCTTCATATCTTCATTCCAAAGAAAATAATGTCCTATTTAGGACACACAGAAATAATGTATAACCTCAGCGAATCAACGGGTCACATAGTCACACTAATTACTTTCCTTTAAAACTACTCAAAGTGATATTAAGAAAAACAAATATGAATCAGCTCTCCTTGCACAAAAACTGTGTAGTGGGGCAATGTCATATCTTTGCCATGATACTGAAGTGGGATCATTTTATCTTTTGACCGATATAAAGTTGCACAACAAGAATAGCAATACTGAGACAGGATGTGGTTCTCTGTTAACAGCCAAGGAAGTAAATCTTTTCACTAACTTTATTGATGATCTAAATTAAAATAACACAGTCTATGCCTCATCTGTCAAGAAAGGGTTAATATCCATATTATGTAAATTAACTGTTAGGGTCCACTTTATATACAAACTGAGGAAAAAACTGGTTGCTGGTAAAAGCAAAAAGAATTTTACAAATGTGCATTTATTATTCAACAATAATGATGGTAACCTTGCTGCAAGTTGACAGAGGTGATGAATCCCCATCCCTCATATTTTGTGGGAAGAGTTGGGGAAAATAATGGTGGAAGGAAGGGCATTTTGCCCAGCCAGCATTGTGTCTAGTTTGCCTGGATAAAATCAGTGATAAATCTGTAATAATATTATTGCTGAGTGAGATTTTGTAAATGAAGTTACATTTCTGGTTGTCTTTCCCAGTATTCCTGAAAGCTGAAGTAAATTTTCAACAATTAATCCTAAACCTGGAGTTCAGCAACTTTTAAATGTTTTGTTTAGTAATGTTTAGAAACCCAGCATCGTGTTTTAAAAAATAAAATACCTGGTTTGCTCCACACGAGAAACATCTGTAGCAGTGAAATCCAGTGTTATTCACAGAATTGCCTTCCCAAATGTTGTTGATTTATGAACAAAAATATGCAACCTCTTTCTCCAAAGCACCAGTGTTTGAAGTCAGATATTTTATGAAATAAAAAAACAGTTTTCAGTAAAAACTGTTTTCATCTTAAACCGATAGAAAAACTATACTGAAATGAATCCACGACAAAATTCATAAAATGCCTCACCAGCAAGACTGAACTCAGCTTTCCACAAGAATACAACACAATATGGAAGTCAACAATCTCTCATTTCAGTGACTTTGTGTGAACATTAAGAGACACTTTGGGGTTTCACTCTTAATGGAGACATTAATGCCAGCGCAGAACAAAGAGAAAACAATGGAAGGCAGAGTTATTACCAGTACAACCGGAGACACTGACCAGGTGTGTAACAGCAGTTTCAGATGTGAATGTATGGTAACTATGAGACATAGTCACTAGAACAGTCTGAAACCGAACCAAATGTCATGATTTTACTATGCTTCTGACAATGGTGGGAGGTTCTCTATAAAGCTCAGTTTCCTGATAACAAATTATTTATTTCATTATCACAGGTTCAACAAAAAGCTAACAATCAAACAAAAAACAAAATTGGATCTATTTCAAGCTCTTGTTGTTACCAGGGAAAATCCTAGAGCAATAATCCTCAGAAGGCTCTGAAATAAATGCAAAATGTTACAGCTATTTGCATCTTTAGGAGGGTTGTAATTTTTTGCAAGGCTGGCAATACAGGGTAGGTTTTGATCTTTTTTGGTAGGTTTTGGTTTACTCAGCTTGAGGGTTGAACAAGATGGAACAGTGATCCTGCAGAACAGTGCAGGCTTCAAGCTTGCTATCCATCATCCTTCTTCGTGGCAAATACACCCATGAGCCAGTTGCAAAGGGAGCTGTACAACCAAGTGTTGTTCACAGCCACACCTGTGCCAGGTGGGCACTGCTGATGAGCAAAAATGTACCAGAAAATTGACAGCTTCAGTGAGAGACCTCTGTCAGTTTAGAGTTCTGATTTTTCCACAGAATCACGGTATGGTTGAGCTTGGAAGGGACTTCAGAAGGTCATGTAGTTCAACTCCCCCAACTCAAGCTAGGACACCTACAGCCAGACCATGTCCAGACAACTTTTGACCATCTCCAAGGATAAAGACTCTACAACCTCTCTGGGCAACCTGTGCAGTGCTCGGTCACCCTCACAGTAAAAAAGTATTTCCTGATGTTCAGAGGGAACCTCATCTGAACATTTCTGTGTTTCAGTTTGTGCCCATTGTTTCTGGTCCTCTCACTGGGCATCACTGAAGAGAACCTGGCTCCATCATCTTGCACCCCTCCTTCTGGTATTTGCACGTATTAGTAAGATCACAGAATGGTGAGGGTTGGCAAGAAGCTGAAGGTGATCTAGTTCCAACCCCTTTGCCATGGGCAGGGATGCCTGACACTGAGCACGTCACCCATTTAATTCTTAGAGCAGAACGCGGGCAGCCTGTGTTGATTTCACCACTTGGCCTGGCCCATAAGGAAGATCTTGTATAGACATTGATACTGCCTTCTATGATTACAAGGATGCCACCCCAATGTACTACCTCTTCATCTGATCAGTAACCCTGGCATAACTTCAGTTATACTTACAACAGCGTTGCCATCAGTTTCCATGAATGGTTTCAAAGCTTAGTGGGGAAGCTGAAAAAAGAGAAAGTATTGTTTACTTAAGCTCTGCATTATGGTTTCATATAATGAAAGTCTTGGAAGTAGAGTAAAAAAAATGTGTTAATAACCTTTGACCTGCCAATTTCTACCCTCCTTTCTCCACCAACCCCCTCAAAAAAAGGACCTTTTCCAAAGACAATGCTATGTGAACTGGTTTTACTGATTTAGAAGTCAACCAGTGATAAAGAACACTGATACAAATCCATCCAAGCTTTTCTATGAAATAAACAAAACAAAGCTCATGGATGTGATTGGGATTTGCTTTATGGTTGGTTGGGTTTTGTTTTGGGTTTGAGTTTTTTGAGGGGTATTTTTTTAGGAAATACATCAATATGTAAAATAGGGGTTCAGTTGGGTTTTGTTGTCGTTTTTTTTTGGTTCATGTTGTTTGGGTTTTTTTTTACTTTTGAATAAGTCTAGATTTTTATTTCCACTTTGGCTGAGTAATTCCCAGTATTTTCTGGGAATTCTAGTTAGGTAAATTGCCAGCGTTCCTTGACAGGATAAGATCTCATACTGGACTACCCATTTTATAATGAATTGTAATTTTCTGTTCCAGATAGAAAAATCTGCGCAGTCCAGCAGTAGACAGTGTGCTCAGCTCGCTCCCTGAAATGTCTGTACACCAATGCGCGCAGCATGGGAAATAAACAGGAGGAGTTGGAAACCTGTGTTAAGTCAGGAGACTATGATCTGGTGGCAATTACAGAGACTTGGTGGGACAGCTCACATGACTGGAATATAGTCATGGAGGGCTATGTCCTTTTTAGGAAAGACAGGCCAGCCAGGAGGGGTGGTGGGGTTGCTCTTTATGTGCGGGAGGAACTACAATGCACCGAGTTCTGTCTGGGGACAGATGATGAGCGAGTTGAGAGTCTGTGGGTGAGAATTAAGGGGCAGGCTGGCAGGGGGGATACTGTTGTAGGTGTCTGTTACAGACCACCAGATCAGGGTGAGGAAGTTGACGAGGCCTTCTACAGGCAGCTGAGAGAGGCCTCACAGTCACAGGCCGTGGTCGTCATGGGGGATTTTAACTTCCCTGATGTTTGCTGGAAGGACCACTCGGCAACCCAGCCGCAGTCCAGGAGGTTCCTCCAGTGTGTGGATGATAACTTCCTCCTGCAAATGGTGGATGAGCCGACCAGGAGAGGAGCGCTGCTGGATCTCATCCTCACTAACAAGGAGGGTCTGGTTGAAGCAGTAAGGGTAGAGGGCTGCCTTGGTTGCAGCGACCACGAGATGGTGAAGTTCAGGATCTTGTGTGGTAGGACTAGTAGGATACCAAGTAGAATTGAAACCCTGGACTTTAGCAGGGCAAACTTTGGCCTTTTCAAGCAATTGCTAGGGAAAATCCCATGGGCAAGGCTGCTTGAAGGAAAAGGGGCCCAAGATAGTTGGTTGACATTCAAGGACTGCTTTTTCCGTGCTCAAGATCGGAGCATCCCGACACGTAGGAAGTCAAGGAAGAGGGCCAAGAGACCTGTGTGGCTAAATAGGGAATTGCTGGGTATGCTCAAGTGGAAGAGGAGAGTTTACAGGTCATGGAAGGAGGGGCTGGCCACTTGGGAGGAATATAAGGCTGCTGCTAGGGGATGTAGGAAGGCAGCTAGGAGGACTAAGGCTTCCTTAGAATTAAACCTGGCAAGAAGGGTCAAGGACAGCAAAAAGAGCTTTTTCAAGTACATGGCAGACAAAACTAACACCAGAGGCAATGTAGGCCCACTGATGAACGGGATGGGTGCCCTGGTGACAGAAGATGCAGAGATGGCAGAGTTACTGAATGCCTTCTTTGTCTCTGTCTACTCTGCTGCAGGCAGTCCTGAAGAGCCCTATACCCCTGAGACCTTAGATGAAGTCAGGTCGACGGAGCGACTTGCCTTAGTCGATGAGGAATGGGTTAGAGATCAGTTGAGCAATCTGGACGTCCATAAATCCATGGGTCCAGATGGGATGCACCCGCGGGTGCTGAGGGAACTGGCGGAAGTCATTGCTAGACCACTCGCCATCATCTTTACCAAGTCTTGGGAAACGGGAGAGGTGCCTGAGGACTGGAGGAAGGCAAATGTCACTCCGGTCTTCAAAAAGGGCAAGAAGGAGGACCCGGGTAACTATAGACCGGTCAGCCTCACCTCCATCCCTGGGAAAGTGATGGAACACCTTGTCCTTGGTGCCATCTTAAAGCATATCAAGGATAAGAGGGTTATGAGGGGCAGTCAACATGGCTTCACCAGGGGGAAATCATGTTTGACCAATCTCTTAGCCTTTTATGAGGAAATAACACGGTGGATGGATGATGGCAGAGCGGTGGATGTGGTCTACCTTGACTTCAGCAAAGCCTTTGACACAGTCTCTCACAGCATCCTCACGGCTAAATTGAGGAAGTGTGGACTGGATGACCAGGTAGTGAGGTGGACTGCGAACTGGCTGAAGGAGAGAAGCCAGAGAGTTGTAGTCTATGGGGCTGAGTCTAGTTGGAGGCCTGTAACTAGTGGAGTGCCTCAAGGGTCAGTACTGGGACCAGTATTATTTAATATATTCATCAATGATTTAGATGAGGGAATTGAGTGTACTATCAGCAAGTTTGCTGATGACACTAAGCTGGGAGGAGTGGCTGACACGCCAGAAGGCTGTGCTGCCATCCAGCGAGACCTGGACAGGCTGGAGAGTTGGGCAGGGAATAACGGGATGAAATATAACAAGGGAAAGTGTAGAGTCCTGCATCTGGGCAGGAACAACCCCAGGTTCCAGTATAGGTTGGGGAACGACCTGCTAGAGAGCAGTGTAGGGGAGAGGGACCTGGGGGTCCTAGTGGACGACAGGATGACCATGAGCCAACACTGTGCCCTTGTGGCTAAGAAGGCCAATGGCATCCTGGGGTGTATTAGAAGGGCGGTGGTTAGTAGGTCGAGAGAGGTCCTCCTTCCCCTCTACTCTGCCCTGGTGAGACCCCATCTGGAATATTGTGTCCAGTTCTGGGCCCCTCAGTTCAAGAAGGACAGGGAGCTGCTGGAGAGAGTCCAGCGCAGGGCAACCAAGATGATTAAGGGAGTGGAGCATCTCCCTTATGAGGAAAGACTGAGGGAGCTGGGTCTTTATAGTTTAGAGAAGAGGAGACTGAGGGGTGACCTTATAAGTGTCTATAAATATATAAAGGGGGAGTGTCACGAGGATGGAGCCAGGCTCTACTCAGTGGCAAACAATGATAGGACAAGGGGTAATGGGTGCAAACTGGAACACAAGAGGTTCCACTTAAACTTGAGAAGGAACTTCTTCTCAGTGAGGGTGACGGAACACTGGAACAGGCTGCCCAGGGAGGTTGTGGAGTCTCCTTCCCTGGAGACATTCAAAGCCCGCCTGGACACATTCCTGTGTAACGTTATCTAGGTGTTCCTGCTCTGGCAGGGGGATTGGACTAGATGATCTTTTGAGGTCCCTTCCAATCTCCAGCATACTGTGATACTGTGATACAGTAGTGTTTCTTTTCCAAAGATACACAAAGTTAGTAGTTATCTATTTAGGTGACACTTCAGGTGATTTCATTTGATAAACAATAGTCAGCTCCCTTTGTGATTGTCCTCTGCCTGGTAGGATGGATACGTGACAAAAGAATCAGTGCAGTGTACAAGGTAAACATACCAACTTTTTAGTGCAGCCAAGTTCCTAGAAAACTCACCCCTTTGCATATGAAAGAATCACTGAGTGAAATGGAAGAGGATACAAAACTCTGCTGAAGTGAGCAAGAAAGATTTGCAGAAATAGAGCCACACTTCTGAAGCATTTCTAACAAGAATTTTTTCCTGTTACTAGAACAAGTAATCTTAAGATATGTGCTATTTTTCATGCATATTTGTTTTAGTTTGAGAATAAAATCTTAAAACAGAAAATAAAAACCCACCTACTGGCTTCCAGCAATTTCAAACCAAAAATAGAAAGGCAAACAAATACATATTTTTCTGGCTCCCAATTTTTTCTGTTGAAAAATAGAAAGAAGCACTTTCTGTAAGTGCCTCAAACTGAACTAGTATCATGATGAGGAGAGATGTTATGGCAAATAATTTCAAGGATGTTTAGAAATCATAGCTAGTATAAACAAGAAGAGGAAACACCTTTAGTTATACAAGAAAATTAACATCAAGGCTAAAATACTGAGCCAGAAATCAAGGGAATAACAGACCAAATTACAGCAATTATTGTGACACATGGCTTTTTCCTGTAATTTCTTGTGTGCTTTCAGTCTGGGGAGGGTGGGATGTAATTATACAAACTGCACAGATTCGAATCAACCACGGTACCAGGAGCAGAAGCGTTAGTTAACTGACAAGGAAAAGTTTCCACCTTAGTGTTTTGTGCCAAAGGAGTTGAAGTGGATTTCAGCAGAACCTTCTCAGTGACTTTAACTCAAACTTCTAGTTAGTTTTCAGAAACTAGATAAGAGAACTTTGAGCTATCATCCTATTTTCAAAAGCAGCATTGATTTCTGTCTTGTTCTAGTTAATTTATTATTCCCTATGTAAGGAAAGATATTAAAAATAAAAATAAAAAAATCACAGGTTCACTGCAGAAATAACTTGTGTACACATAACTGGAGTTTATTTCCTCTAAGTAAATCCAATCTGAGTGAGATTAGTTACACTGAGAAATAGCATTAGAATTTTTTTGTCTGCTCAAGTGTACTCAACTGTTGTAAAGCCAGCATTTCAGAAGGGCATACCTGTTTCTCTCTGCATTACAGTAAAAGAAGTGTTTCCTTTCAATTTTCTGCAGGAGCACTGTGGGAAAATCATCTATCCTTTCTAAACAGATATAATTAGAAGGAGCTGGATAAACATGGCCACTCAACTAGAGCTAATCATACCCTCCTTATCAGGTGGTACAGCATGAATGTGCAGGGACTGTCTCTGGGAACCATAGCTTTCACCCCCCCCCCCCCCAATAATCTCCTCCCAGAAGCTGTAGTTAGCACCCCCTGCTGA